TCTATGCTGTTTCAATGATTATGAAGCTGAACTTTCATGAATTTGCAGAAAATTACACAGTGGTGCATTTTTGACTTATTTCACTGAGAGAAAGCTTTTTTCGTCTTAGTCTTATTTTTGACTTCTTTCACTGAGATCAACACTGGAATTGTTCAAAACACTAAAATGTACTGCTTCTCAGTACTTCTATGCTGTTTCAAAGATTATAAAGCTGAACTTTAATGAATTTGCAGAAAATTACACAGTGGTGCATTTTTGAATTATTTCACTGAGAGAAAGCTTTTTTCGTCTTAGTCTTATTTTTGACTTCCTTGACTGAGATCAACACTGGAATTGTTCAAAACACTAAAATATACTGCTTCTCAGTACTTTTATGCTGTTTCAAAGATTATGAAGCAGAACTTTCATGTATTTGTAGAAAATTAAACAGTGGTGCATTTTTGACTTATTTCACTGAGAGAAAGCTTTTTTGTCTTAGTCTTATTTTTGAATTCTTTCACTGAGATCAACACTGGAATTGTTCAAAACACTCAAATACACTGCTTCTCAGTACTTCTATGCTGTTTCAAAGATTATAAAGCTGAACCTTCATGAATTTGCAGAAAATTACACAGTGGTGCATTTTTGACTTATTTCACTGAGAGAAAGCTTTTTTCGTCTTAGTCTTATTTTTGACTTCTTTCACTGAGATCAACACTGGAATTGTTCAAAACACTCAAATATACTGCTTCTCAGTACTTCTATGCTGTTTCAAAGATAATGAAGCTGAACTTTCATGAATTTGCAGAAAATTACACAGTGGTGCATTTTTGACTTATTTCACTGAGAGAAAGCTTTTTTCGTCTTAGTCTTATTTTTGACTTCTTTCACTGAGATCAACACTGGAATTGTTCAAAACACTCAAATATACTGCTTCTCAGTACTTCTATGCTGTTTCAATGATTATGAAGCTGAACTTTCATGAATTTGCAGAAAATTACACAGTGGTGCATTTTTGACTTATTTCACTGAGAGAAAGCTTTTTTCGTCTTAGTCTTATTTTTGACTTCTTTCACTGAGATCAACACTGGAATTGTTCAAAACACTAAAATGTACTGCTTCTCAGTACTTCTAAGCTGTTTCAAAGATTATAAAGCTGAACTTTCTCGAATTTGCAGAAAATTAGACAGTGGTGCATTTTTGACTTATTTCACTGAGAGAAAGCTTTTTTCATCTTAGTCTTATTTTTGACTTCTTTCACTGAGATCAACACTGGAATTGTTCAAAACACTCAAATATACTGCTTCTCAATACTTCTATGCTGTTTCAAAGATTATGAAGCTGAACTTTCATGAATTTGCAGAAAATTACACAGTGGTGCATTTTTGACTTATTTCACTGAGAGAAAGATTTTTCGTCTTAGTCTTATTTTTGACTTCTTTCACTGAGATCAACACTGGAATTGTTCAAAACACTCAAATATACTGCTTCTCAGTACTTCTATGCTGTTTCAAAGATTATGAAGCTGAACTTTCATGAATTTGCAGAATATTACACAGTGGTGCATTTTTGACTTATTTCACTGAGAGAAAGCTTTTTTCGTCTTAGTCTTATTTTTGACTTCCTTGACTGAGATCAACACTGGAATTGTTCAAAACACTAAAATATACTGCTTCTCAGTACTTCTATGCTGTTTCAAAGATTATGAAGCAGAACTTTCATGTATTTGTAGAAAATTAAACAGTGGTGCATTTTTGACTTATTTCACTGAGAGAAAGCTTTTTTTGTCTTAGTCTTATTTTTGAATTCTTTCACTGAGATCAACACTGGAATTGTTCAAAAAGCTCAAATATACTGCTTCTCAGTACTTCTATGCTGTTTCAAAGATAATGAAGCTGAACTTTCATGAATTTGCAGAAAATTACACAGTGGTGCATTTTTGACTTATTTCACTGAGAGAAAGCTTTTTTCGTCTTAGTCTTATTTTTGACTTCTTTCACTGAGATCAACACTGGAATTGTTCAAAACACTCAAATATACTGCTTCTCAGTACTTCTATGCGGTTTCAATGATTATGAAGCTGAACTTTCATGAATTTGCAGAAAATTACACAGTGGTGCATTTTTGACTTATTTCACTGAGAGAAAGCTTTTTTCGTCTTAGTCTTATTTTTGACTTCTTTCACTGAGATCAACACTGGAATTGTTCAAAACACTCAAATATACTGCTTCTCAGTACTTCTATGCTGTTTCAAAGATAATGAAGCTGAACTTTCATGAATTTGCAGAAAATTACACAGTGGTGCATTTTTGACTTATTTCACTGAGAGAAAGCTTTTTTCGTCTTAGTCTTATTTTTGACTTCTTTCACTGAGATCAACACTGGAATTGTTCAAAACACTCAAATATACTGCTTCTCAGTACTTCTATGCTGTTTCAATGATTATGAAGCTGAACTTTCATGAATTTGCAGAAAATTACACAGTGGTGCATTTTTGACTTATTTCACTGAGAGAAAGCTTTTTTCGTCTTAGTCTTATTTTTGACTTCTTTCACTGAGATCAACACTGGAATTGTTCAAAAAGCTCAAATATACTGCTTCTCAGTACTTCTATGCTGTTTCAAAGATAATGAAGCTGAACTTTCATGAATTTGCAGAAAATTACACAGTGGTGCATTTTTGACTTATTTCACTGAGAGAAAGCTTTTTTCGTCTTAGTCTTATTTTTGACTTCTTTCACTGAGATCAACACTGGAATTGTTCAAAAAGCTCAAATATACTGCTTCTCAGTACTTCTATGCTGTTTCAAAGATAATGAAGCTGAACTTTCATGAATTTGCAGAAAATTACACAGTGGTGCATTTTTGACTTATTTCACTGAGAGAAAGCTTTTTTCGTCTTAGTCTTATTTTTGACTTCTTTCACTGAGATCAACACTGGAATTGTTCAAAACACTAAAATGTACTGCTTCTCAGTACTTCTATGCTGTTTCAAAGATTATAAAGCTGAACTTTAATGAATTTGCAGAAAATTACACAGTGGTGCATTTTGAATTATTTCACTGAGAGAAAGCTTTTTTCGTCTTAGTCTTATTTTTGACTTCCTTGACTGAGATCAACACTGGAATTGTTCAAAACACTAAAATATACTGCTTCTCAGTACTTTTATGCTGTTTCAAAGATTATGAAGCAGAACTTTCATGTATTTGTAGAAAATTAAACAGTGGTGCATTTTTGACTTATTTCACTGAGAGAAAGCTTTTTTTGTCTTAGTCTTATTTTTGAATTCTTTCACTGAGATCAACACTGGAATTGTTCAAAACACTCAAATACACTGCTTCTCAGTACTTCTATGCTGTTTCAAAGATTATAAAGCTGAACCTTCATGAATTTGCAGAAAATTACACAGTGGTGCATTTTGACTTATTTCACTGAGAGAAAGCTTTTTTCGTCTTAGTCTTATTTTTGACTTCTTTCACTGAGATCAACACTGGAATTGTTCAAAACACTCAAATATACTGCTTCTCAGTACTTCTATGCTGTTTCAAAGATAATGAAGCTGAACTTTCATGAATTTGCAGAAAATTACACAGTGGTGCATTTTTGACTTATTTCACTGAGAGAAAGCTTTTTTCGTCTTAGTCTTATTTTTGACTTCTTTCACTGAGATCAACACTGGAATTGTTCAAAACACTCAAATATACTGCTTCTCAGTACTTCTATGCTGTTTCAATGATTATGAAGCTGAACTTTCATGAATTTGCAGAAAATTACACAGTGGTGCATTTTTGACTTATTTCACTGAGAGAAAGCTTTTTTCGTCTTAGTCTTATTTTTGACTTCTTTCACTGAGATCAACACTGGAATTGTTCAAAACACTAAAATGTACTGCTTCTCAGTACTTCTAAGCTGTTTCAAAGATTATAAAGCTGAACTTTCTCGAATTTGCAGAAAATTAGACAGTGGTGCATTTTTGACTTATTTCACTGAGAGAAAGCTTTTTTCATCTTAGTCTTATTTTTGACTTCTTTCACTGAGATCAACACTGAATTGTTCAAAACACTCAAATATACTGCTTCTCAATACTTCTATGCTGTTTCAAAGATTATGAAGCTGAACTTTCATGAATTTGCAGAAAATTACACAGTGGTGCATTTTTGACTTATTTCACTGAGAGAAAGATTTTTCGTCTTAGTCTTATTTTTGACTTCTTTCACTGAGATCAACACTGGAATTGTTCAAAACACTCAAATATACTGCTTCTCAATACTTCTATGCTGTTTCAAAGATTATGAAGCTGAACTTTCATGAATTTGCAGAAAATTACACAGTGGTGCATTTTTGACTTATTTCACTGAGAGAAAGATTTTTCGTCTTAGTCTTATTTTTGACTTCTTTCACTGAGATCAACACTGGAATTGTTCAAAACACTAAAATATACTGCTTCTCAGTACTTCTAAGCTGTTTCAAAGATTATAAAGCTAAAACTTTCATGAATTTGCAGAAAATTACACAGTGGTGCATTTTTGACTTATTTCACTGAGAGAAAGCTTTTTTCGTCTTAGTCTAATTTTTAACTTCTTTCACTGAGATCAACACTGGAATTGTTCAAAACACTACTGTATAGTCAATTACAGTAAGGGTACTGTATAATTAAGAGTATAATGCTGGCAACCCTGCTGCCAACATTATACTGTAAAAATACAGGGCAATTTGTTACAGTGTAGGATTGTAGCTTTGATTCTCTCCACAAAAAAAATTGAATTTTTCTTATAATTTTCATAAAGAAAAAAAACCATACAATTTCCCCTCCATTAAGAACATTGCCAATACTTTTTCGTCAAGGAGATCTAACATTTTTTTAAAATGGCACCATCAATGTTCAGAATTATTTCTATTCTGCTTGACAGATTTACATTTGTTGTTAATAGAAAAACTTGCAGACACTCCAGAACTGCGACATCTCCTGGTATGGAACTTGTTTTCAATCTGCGATATTATTTTAGACTGAAGCGTCTTTTTCATAAACTGTCGTCATTCAGTTTTACTCTGAAATAATGGCTGGTGTGCAGGTGACCTCCAATTCAGCTCAGTGATATTGGAAGAAGGAAGGAAGCACAGTGAGTCGAAATATTAAAGCAAATAATCACTTTCGAACATTTTAATAAGGAGCTGTAACGCTACATAACTGCACTGTTTAACATTCAAATTATTAATGCAACCCTAAAGTCTCGCGGTGTTACGATTCAGACATCTTGCATTTTAATAAGTCTAGTCTCTAAGATATTGCTGTTATAGCAACATTCACGCTGTTCTTATTTCCCTCATAGACGCGTTTGTTGAAGGACCGAATCATTTTCCTCCGCATCAACGCGCGTGAAGTGGGAGGCTGGAAGAAGCTTCGCGTGCCAGTTCCACGGAGAGCAGACGGTTTCTAGCGAGGGGCGGAGGGATTCGCTCCGTATTGTGCGTCGTCTCCATCGCTTTGATATATTTTTATCCACGCAGTGACAACATGGCGACTCCCGCTGCGGTGAACCCGTCCGGTAAGTACTTTTCTGGGTGTGTGGATGAATGTGAGCGGGGTGGGAGAAGCTGGAACGGGGCGCCGACACCGAAAGGCCGCTGCAGCCCCAGCCAGCATCCATCCCTTCCCCCACTCAGCTCTTGGTTACACCGTTACCATTCCTCAGTGCTGAGAACCGTTTAAAATAGATGGGTAGCTGTGACTTTCTGGATGCTTTGTAGTTGTATTCGTGATCTTGATTGCTTCAGAAGACCGGAGACAGTGTGTGTGTGTGTGTGTGTGTGTGTGTGTGTGTGTGTGTGTGTGTGTGTGTGTGTGTGTGTGTTTGTGTGTGTGTGTGCGTGTGTGTGTGTGTGTGTGTGCGCGCGCGCGTGTGCTTGCGTCCGTTCGTGTGTTAGTCGGGCCATACAAAAGCTCATCGTATCGCTCTCCACTATCATTGTCCTTCCCTCGGTCTGCAGAGTTCCATGGACACATGGACTGGATGCTTCATTGTTGGTCCAACATGAGGAGCCGAATGAGAGGCAGAAATGTTCTTTAAGCAGCAGCAGGTCTGGAATTATTCTACTGAAACAGTTACCAGGGGCAATTCTACTGAACATGGTCAGCAGCTGACAAGGACTCCTGACCAAGACAATAATTAAACCCCGTTTAATCTTACACATTTATTCACAACAACAGAAGACATTTAACAACAACTGAATCACTAATAACGCATTTTGAGCTGTTAACGATCCTCTAGGTCAGGGGTGTCAAACATACGGCCCGCGGGCCGGAACCGGCCCACCGAACGATTTAGTCCGGCCCGGGGTCTAAATGCCCCCAGCCGGACCATTATAATTGAAAAAAAAACCCATACATTTTGTTTAATTGAAAATCTGCTATTCCTATATTGTCCACGAGGGGCGCCGTTTTATTCAGAGCAGACATTGGAACTAACAGCAGATGGCAGCACTGAGCTTCAGGTTCTGTAAACAGCTTTGATTCTATCGCTTTATCAGCGTTTTATTTTGGCCCCGGCAGCCTCATCAACGACATGTTTTTCTCAAAAAAGAGAAAGGTAGACACGGAGTTTTGGATTTTTCAAGAAAAATTGACTTCTTCTTATTTGTTCACGGAGGTGAATGGAAAACCCGTGTCCCTTGTGTGCCTGCAGCAGGTTTCGGTGCTTAAGGAATACAATATTCACCGCCACTATGAAACCCAGCATGGTGAAAAATACAAACACTTGCGAGGAGAACTGAGAAATCAGAAGACAAATGAAATGTTGATGGGTCTGAGGAAACAGCAATCTGTTTTTACCCGGAGTTGAGAGGCCAGTGATGCTGCGGTGAAAGCCAGCTATCTAACTGCTAACCAAATAGCGATAGCATCAAAGCCTTCCTGTGAGGGAACTGCATGCTGAAGCTGCTCAAGTTGTGTGTCCTGAGAAGAGACAAGCTTTTGCCAATATTAGCTTGACTAGAAATATCGTTGCTGACAGGATTTCCGAACTATCAGCAGATTTGGACAACCAGCTCAAACGCAAAACGGAGTCATTTCTGGCATTTTCTGTTGCAATTGATGAGAGTACTGATGTTGCGGATGTCGCTCAACTGGCCATATTTATTCGTGGAGTTGATGAGACGTTGACTGTCACAGAGGAGATTCCAGAGTTGGTGCCCATGACCGACACCATGACATCTGAAGACATTTTCCGCTTCGTTGTTGGAGCGCTGGACCGAGTCGGGGTGGACTGGTCCCGCGCCAGGTGGACTGGTCCCACGCCGGGTGGACTGGTTACCTGCGGCGTAAGCCTGGCTACTGATGGTGCGACGTCAGTGATTGGGAAAAAGACAGGTGTTGTGACAAAGTTCAGAGAGAAAGAAAGCTGCAAATAAAGGGGGGGAGTTTTGGACATTTCATTGTATTTTGCATCAGGAAGCATTATGCTGCAAGTCGCTAAAAATGCACCATGTCATGGAGGTGGTTGTCCGAACTTTTAATGTCATCCGAGCCAGAGCTCTCAGTCATCGTCAGTTTGTTGAGTGAAATATTTCTCATGCATGCAATACATGTTATGTATGAAAGTTTTTCTATATGTATATATTTTATGCATCAACAAGAAAGGCGACAGATGTACTTAATCAAATGTCTGTTTAAAACACCTGACACTTAAAATTTCAAATGTGTGAAGCTCGCTAATTTGATTAAATTGCTTCCCAGATGTAGAAAATAGATTTTAAATCATTTCTTAATTTTTATCTGTTTGATGTATTTTGTCATGCAGGACAGTGTTTGAAGTTCCAAAAACTGTGAATAAATGTTTTGCAACTTTGTACAATCACTGATCAGTTCTTACGCATAAGGCACTTAAATAAATGTTTAACTGAGTAAAATTAATGTTGAAATTGTATATACTTTTCTTAAAAAGTCTGAAGTTATTCATAATATATTTTTGTAAAAGTGAAATTTGTTTAATATAAAAATCAACGAGTTCACTTTCATTAGTTCTATTTAATTTTGAAATGAGTTAATTTGTGCGGCCCCTTGAGATCAGATTAAGCTGTATGCGGCCCCTAAACCAAAATGAGTTTGACACCCCTGGGCTACAGTATTTCTCAAACATTAAGGAGCACATGAGGCTTGGATAAGGCACCTTATTTGTTAGTTGCTCCAGGATGAGCTTTTGTTGTTGATTATCTTCTTCAAGATGACTAAACAACTGCTGGATAAATTGTTGGTTAGCCACAATCACACAGTTTATGTGACCAATTATCTTTTATTTTACAAAACCAATGAAAAAAACTGAAGGGATAATAAATAGAGGCAATAAAGGCAATTAAAGATATAAACATCAATATGAAAAACATCAGCAAAGGGTAATATAATTCAACACAGATGGGCAGTATAGCCCATCTGTGTTTTTTCAATAATAATTATGATTTGGTCTCAGGGTTTCTCCCAGAAAACTTGCTAAGCTTGTTCGGGGTACCGAGGCAGTCCACTGTGTTTTTGTATTAAAAGTTGTTAAGGTAGACCGGAAATGTAAAAATATTAATGGGTAATTATATGTTACAGAAAACATTGCAGATGAAATGCTATTTAAACCCACAAATAGTCTCAAAAACAACAAATCAAACAATACAATTCAAACTAGAAAGTGTGCATTTCCTGTAAAAATACAAATGTGAACTAAATGCTCAATGCTTTTATTGAAAATGCCAAAACGTTGGAAGTCATCTGCTGAAGACTTTCAGAAATGCGAGAAATAGGCAGAAGCACCAGAACAAATTATAGTCCTGCAAAGTGCCTAAATGGGATTATTATAACAGAAAAGCTGTTGAAGAGGAGTAAAAGTTTTTGAACAATGGAAAAATTCCACACAAAGAGTATTAGAAGTAATATATTCTATGCAATGTAAAAAAAAAAAAAAAAAGTCAGGTAAAACCTAAGATTTGAATTGGACAGAAACGTTGGGTTACTTAACGTAATCCCTGGTTCTTTGATAACAGAGTGAGGTGTTTCACTATGGGAATCGCCTCAGCGTGACCCAACTACGGAAGCTCCAATGACATCACGTCTGTCCATGACAGACAGGTTGAGCCGTGACTGTGGCTCCACCCACCATCCAATATCACGGCCAACCTATCCCTCTCAACTCATTCTAAGCAGGTTTCTTTCCGTGCCCATGCATGAAGGGATGTGTTGGTGAAACACCTCACTCTGTTATCAAAGAACCAGGGATTACGTTAAGTAACCCAACGTTCTTTTTCTAACTTCGCTCGGTGTTTCACTATGGGAGATATGGCCAACTCCCGAATTGCATGCTGACCCCGAAGCCGTGCTTGGCAACAATTCATACAATCCAGGACTCCGGTGGAGCCTGATGAGCCAACCTCGAGTACCATGTGCGCCAAAGATGACTGGGCCACATCCAGCCTTTAAAACCTCACAAACGTGTGCGGTGTAGCCCAACTGGCTGCCGCACAGATGTCCTGAACAGACACACCGCGGAACAAAGCCCAAGAGGTGGCCATGCTTCTGGTAGAATGGGCCCTCAGCCCTTCAGGGGGTTCTGACCCTGAGCATCTATATGCCAGAGATATAGTCTCCACAATCCAGTGCGCTAACCTGTGGCGAGAGATAGGTTTGCCCTTATGAGAAGTAGCCCAAGACACAAAAAGGTGATCAGCTCTTCTAAAGTCAGCTGTCCTGTCAACATAAGCCCTCAAGTTCTCACGGGACATAAGCAATTAAGCCTCTTCTCTCCTTCTGAAGAAAAAGGAGGTGGATGGAATGCCAGCAGTTCCACCATTGAACACCGGTATGATGTTTCCATCACCTTGGGCACAAAAGCAGGATTGGGTCTCAAGCATACTTTGGAGAACCCCGGTGCCCACTGTAGACAAGTAGGACTAACTGATAGTGCGTGTAACTCGCCTACTCTCTTAGCAGTAGTTAAAGCTAAGAGCAGTGCAGTTTTCAATGTAAGAAATTTCATACCAATACCCTCCAAAGGCTCAAAGGGATGATGGCAAAGGGCCTCCAGTACCAGAGTGAGGTCCCATAATGGCATGAAACGCCTAGAGGTGGGCAGCTTTCGTCGTGCCCCCTTCATGAAACGGCACACCAAGGGGTGCTGCCCAACAGGTTTATCACCAAATCCCACATAACAAGCTGAGATTGCAGCTAAATAAACCTTAATAGTTGAAAAGGCCTTGCCCTTTTCCAACAAGCTCTGTAGAAAACAGAGAACCTCCACCACCGAACACTGAAAAGGAATAGCCTGTCTCTCCACACACCACTCCTCAAAAATTCGCCATTTACCACCGTAAAGTGAGCGAGTTGACGGAGCCCTTGAATTCTGGATGGTGTCGATGACCTCTGGAGGGAGACCTGTTGCATTTAGGTTCCACCTTTCACAGGCCAGGCCCAGAGAGCCAGACGATCTTGATGTGGATGATAAATCTCTCCCTGAGCTTGAGACAGAAGGTCCCTGCGAATGGGGAGGGGCCATGGTTGTGCTGACAGAACTTGAATTATTTCTGCCACCCAGGGCTTCGATGGCCACCATGGGGCCACCAGAATTAAGGACAGGCCCTGTTCCCTCACTCTGACTAGAGTTGGGGATATCAGACTCAGAGGCGGGAACGCATAGAGCAACACATCCGGCCACGAGTGAGCCAGCGCGTCCACGCCCAGTGGTGCGTCTCGGTCCGTCAGGGAGAAAAACTGTGGGCAATGAGCGTTTTTTCCCCTGAGGCGAAGAGATCTACGGCAGCCCTTCCGTATCTCTGCCAGATCTGCTCCACCACTTGAAGTTGCAGTTTCCACTCTCCGTAAAGGGGGTTGCCTCTGGATAACAGATCGGCCCCTCTGTTCAGAATTCCTGGTACGTGTGTTGCACGAACAGATAGAAATTTGGTGCTGCTCCACAGAATTATTTCCCTGGCCAGTCTGTGTAGCTGAATGGATCGGGTCCCGCCCTGACGGTTGATGCACTGTTTTTAACTGGCTTTTCTTGCATTGTATATGTATAAAATGTCAAATGAAATCTTAATCTCTCTATTTTGTTATCAGATGAGCTCAAAGGAAGTAAAAATGAAGTGGAATTTCCATTTAATCAATTCGTACTTGGAGCTTTGTAAATCAGTTAAACACATATTATTTCAGGAGCCAGCAACCCAAAATGTTGAAAGAGCCATAAAAACCAAAAAAAACAAAAAACAAATCTGTCTGGAGCCACAAAAATTAAAAGTCTTATATAAAGCTTATAATAAAGGCAAATTAGGCTTTATGTGTACTAGCCTATTACCAAAATGACTAAGTATATATATAATTATGTATGATTAAATGTTTATTTTTCTTGCAGTGCATCCTGGAAGGAATGACGCACCATGTGACTGTTGTACGATGCTGCTTTAAGTTTACCTTCCGTTACAATATTAATGTTTTGTTGCAATGGTAAAATTAAAGAAATCTTAATTTTTATTATTAAGATTGACAAGGAAAGCATCATGTTTTTCCTGCTCCCAAATGTAGTTTACACAACGATTCACTCTTTGTAAATAATCATGTTAAGTGTGTGATAAAAAACCACCAACAAAACAGAACGAGCATAACATGAACCTTATCTGGCAACAAACGGAGTGCAATAAAAAACAACCAGTTATAAAAATAACTGCTGGTTATTTTTATAACAGTTATAAAATAACCAGCAGTTATAAAAATAACTGCTGGTTATTTTTATAACTGATGATTTACCTTTGAAAAGGTAAATCATGCAGGGTCGGTCCAAGACTGTATGAGGCCTTGAGCAGAATTTGACTTAGGGGCCCCGCTTGCTGCTAAAAACATCAGCAACCAGCTTCTGTGTTAGATGTAGTGAAATCTGGAAGAACGGGAGTAGTTTTTAGCCAACCTAAAAAGCAATCAAAAATAAGTGCAGTTTACTAATTTGTATCTGTGAACAAACAGAGCTTAAAGTGTAAGATTAAACTCATAGTATCAGAATTTAGCTATGATAACAAAACAATCTAACTATGAAGATTGTTCTCTGAACTTTTACAAAGTAAACTTTCTAGCTCCTTAAAATCTTACATTTAAATGTTAAACTATTTAAATTATTTGAATTTATGTATGTTAAACCATTTAAAATCAAATTTAGCAGCACTGATAATCTCAATAAACAAATGTTACATTGATATATCAATTGCCTGTGTTAAAATATTAGCATTTATGAAGTCCTGGGGGTTCTTATGAAGCTGCTGACTTAATTTGGATTAAACAGAAGCGCAAGTAATTGATATTCATTTTAATTGTATTGTTTGATTTGTTGTTTTTAAGTCTACTTGTGGGATTAAATAACATTCTGGTGAGGTTTTCCATAACATAAAATTACCCAGTAATAATTGTACATTTCCTGTCTACTTAACATCTTTTAATACAAAAACATGATGTTAACAAATTTTCTGGGGGAAACCCTGGTTGCTGACCATATCCACACCTTTATGACCACTGTGTACCCATCTCCTAATGGCTTCTTCAAGCAGGATAATGCGCCATGTCACAATGCGTGAATTATCTCAGACTTGTTTCCTGAACACGAAAATGAGTTCACTATTAGGCCTGTGGCGATAAACGATAAATCAATTAATCGCACAATAAATTAAAACGATCGACCTCATTTCAATTATCGGCTATATCGTTTCTTCCTGCCTTTTTCTCTTACTGTTAATGACACTGAATGAAAAAAGGCTCAACTCCAGTGCTCTCCACTGACCCTCCCTTCCTTATTTCCTTAGTGTAATGCCCAGCGCGCACTGCACGATCCTATGTCGCGGATTGTCGGCCCATTACCAAAACCTGAGAGACACATTCGCCGACAGAAAGCCTAGCTATCACGGTTCGATCGAACCACACAATAATATGTCCAGTTTACTAATTTTGAAACCAGGCATTAATCTATTCCTTACTACAATCTACCTGCAATGCATGTGGCGAGTGTCAGTCCTGACTGAATGAAAATCATTATAACCTATTTATGTCACGTTAACGAAGAACAGGTGAAAAGTTACCAGGTTTTCTGGTAGAAATTTTGCTCCAACTCCTCCCCTAGTTATTATTTATATTTTCTTTGCACGAAATGTTGAATAAACATACATGTTTCCGATGTCTGCTGGACTTCGGGTTGCACCGTGTTTCCCCTCAGAAAGCAAGAGGAGAATCCGCGCTTTCTAATTGGCTACCGGTCACATTCAACAGGCTGCGTTAAGCTCCCAGTCTGGGCAAATCCTTGATTTAGATCGGAGCGGCTACAACGATCTACCCTAACACATCACACAAGTGTAAAAAATCCTGTAGTTTGAACTATTGCATGAACTAATGTCTTCTCTATTAAAATCTAATGATTACTGAAGGACAATATACTATACAGACTTCATAATCTGCACTCTTTTGGTTGAATGCAGTATTTATTTCCACTTTGACTTTATGTTGTTCAGTTTTTATTCAAGTACATTTATTGTTAATGGAGACTGAGAATCAATTTTATTTTTGTTTTTGGTTGTTTTATTTATTTTGTGTATCAGTCCCAGTGTTAAGTGTTCTTTTGAAAGTAAAGTGCATCTATCTTTGGCAGGAAATCGCATGTATTATTATGTAATTTCCATTAAATCAATGTAAAAAGGTCTTCAAACAATATTATCGTTTATCGTAATAATTTTTGAGACGATTTATTGCCCAGCAAAATCTGTTATCGTATACGTCACTATACTCTAATGGCCTCACCAGATCTCAATCCAATAATGAATATGTGGACGATACCAAAGCTGACATACATTAAGCAATGTTTTTGTGTCAACAACGGGATTTCTTAAAGAGTTAGTGTAAAATTTAAAATTTGTTCATTTTGGGTGAAACATATTATGTTTGTTGTGTTCTGTCCTCTGCTCTTGACTGTTGCATGTTGTAGAAATAGCCAGTGACCTGCCAGGTCCAGTAGCGATGCCTGGAGGAGTTGGGAGTGGCCAGGTGAGAATGGCAGGTGCCGTGTCAGGCCGCGGTGGGAAGAGGAGATCAGGAGGGTGAGTGTCTTTAATTCTGCTTTCTTGTTGAAACAATTTCTTTTCTAGCACAGAAGAAAAATCCCAAATTTATACAGAATTGTACAAATATATTCATACCCTTCAAACCTGGCATTCTGTGATAAATTAATGTATCTCACTGGGATTTTATGTGATTAAATAAAAAGAAGTTTAGCTTTACTTTGTAATTTACGAGTACTTGTGAATAATTATGAATTGGAAGAAAAGTTACAAATGGTTTTTAACATCTGCAATGGATTGGAGCCTGTCCAGGGAGATCCCACCTCTCACCCGTTGACTGCTGGAGATAGGCACCAGCACCACAAGCGACCCCATTCAGGATAAGATTGTAAGATCATTATCTTACATTATGTTATGGATGGGTTTTCAGCATCTTTTACAAAAATAAACCAATAAAAATTGTGTATGCACTTATATGTAGCCCTTTTACTTGAATATTGGAAACCCAGATTGGCTGAATCAAATGCAGAACTGAGATTTGAATGGATAAGTACAGACAGGCATGTGCAGGTGGAGGACATGGCTTGAGCTTAATGCTCCTAGTGCACTTATGATTTTTTTTTCTTTTTTCAATTCTTTATTATTATTATTTAAATCTGTTTGTAAGAAGGCCTGCTTGTGGAATAATATTTAGCTAAATATAATAATTCATCAAAATGAACTAGTCTGGCTGCCCTCAGTCTAACAACGGCTCTTAGTTTTTCTTCCTCCATGTTGTTCAGACATCGGATCCATGGTGAGGTGGGGGGTGGATCTGTGCCCCCTAACAAATAATGGGCAAGAATAGTTTTTCATACATTGGTTTGTGAATAAATACGTAGGTATGATTGACATTAGAAAAGCTGTTTCTATTTATATTTTCATAATTATCCTCACAATAGTTAAAGTCACGACACAGCTCAAAGCCTCGGTGCCACCTTGGTACCACCGGGTACCACCTTGCTACCACCGTGCTACCACCTTGTTACCACATGCTGACTGTTCGCTCTGCTTGTCCTTAACGTTTCTGCCAGGCGGCTTAAAGCCGCTGCTGATGGGATCTGGGTTGGAGGTGAGCGACTGTAAATAGAAGTTACTGCAGAACCTCAAGTGTTAAAGAAAGATTCAGCCCAGTGTATTTAGAGTTCACAAAATAAACATCAGAGAAAATACTGCCTGCAACAGACTGGCGACCTGTTCAGGGTGTACCCCGCCTCTCGCCCGAAACGCAGATGGAGATAGGCACCAGCACCTCCCGACCCCGTTAGGGAGAAGGGTGCTCAGAAAATGGATGGATGGATGGTTGGAAAATACTGCAGCAATAATTAGAACCACAGCATAAAGCCAAAGATGCCACAATTAAATGAATCAAAATCTCCCCAAAGCATTGGGGGGACTAACATAGGGGCCACCAGGGGATTCCAGGTAGATCACAGGTGAATTCCAGAGATGCACATCGCAGCGGCTGTTCATGCAGGACCGGCCCAAGGTAATATGGGGCCTTAGACAGAACCCCCCATCCCTTTCTACTAAGAACCTCAGCATCACTAACAGTGTTTAAATACAGATAAGGTGAAGTTTGTGAGAATTAGACCACGTTCAATGGCTGAGTTTAAAATCAGTCGCTGATTATTGGTTATTTGCTGTGATGTATTTGTGAACAAACCAGCTCAAACACAAATATTACACCATATTGTAGCCATGGTAACACAACAATCAAACTATCAGATGATTCTTTAAACTTTTACATAGTGAACTTCCTAATTAAATCCTAAATGTACTTGTTTTTTCTCAGCTGAATGCATTAAATGAAATTTAATAACATTGTCATTCTCTATAAAAGAATTCTGCAGGTTTAGATCTATGGTCTGTGTTACAATTAAACAATTTCTAGGGGTCCCTGAGTGTCTGGAGGCCCTTGAATGGCACCTACCAGCAGCTACCGAGTTTTCTTTGCTTATACCAGTCTTACAATTCTAGATCTCAGAGATGCTAACATCAAAAAAATTATATAGAGTTTATCCCTTTGATGTTTTTGATCTATAAATCAGTCTGCAGCCAAGTTGTTCTAGAGGTTAAATAGATATTATTAGGGCTTAATTAGTGAAATGGCAGCAAATTTGCTTATTTAATAACTTCATAACCTTTGACCTTCTTTCCTCTGGTCTGTTTAATAGCTACAGTCTCAGATCAACTCAGTCCTCCAGGACCGTCAGCAGCAAAAAGAGCAACTTTATTCCGTTGGGGAAAATATAGTATATTTGCTTTGCATTTCCCGCTTGATGGGAATGATATAGTCGGATCCAGTTAAATTCTTGATTAATATGGGTTGTTGCTATGTTGCTACGTTGTATGGTGTTTTAAGATCTTGTTCAATGCGCCTTTGTTTAACTTTGAGCCCCTGCATGGCCCTGAGTACAGATGCAATTCAGTAGAAATTAACCTTTGTGTATTTTGTCACTTCAATATTAGTATTGATTTTAGCTACAACTACAACACCTGTTCAGCCTATCCAGTTATTTTATTTATTTTAGTTATTTTATTTTTATTTTTAAGTTCTGGCTGAACTTAATTGTCCATTAGCATCACAATGACAAGATACAGGATTTGAATTAAATATTTTGACATAGATATTGGATCTGTTTGTCTTTTTAAGTACACTGAAATAAATTCAAACATAATTAAAGTGATTCAAAGTGCCATACGTTGGCAGCTAGGTTTAATTAAATGAATAACTGTTATTCTATCTTATTTTACAGAATGGACTTTGATGATGAGGATGGTGAGGGACCCAGCAAATTTTCAAGGTGAGAGCAGTGAAAGCAAGCAACAACGACCAGATATTCAATTGTAGAGGGTACAAATGTCTACAGCTAATTGAAATAACAAGAAATCTTTTTTTTTTACTTTTTGTGAGCCTCCTATTTGTAGTTTGCACCATCATAAATACAACCAGGTATTGTTATATTTTACAGAAACAATGGGTGGGCATAATGGAAATCTGATATTTGTTCACTCCTCTGATATTTTGCCTAGATGTCAGAAAAAATTCCTAGTAATTGTTATCTGAAGTCTGCTGATTATGTCATTTTATAAATTAGGAGAAATGAAAACAACTTGAAAACACAAAATCGAGACTGTTGAAATAGTGGAAACAGTTGATGTAACAAAGTTAAGAGCAGCGTTCAGGGAGGGAGAAAATAAAAGGAAGAATAGAAAAAAGACAAGATAAATGTTTGTTTTAATGTGCCTTGATAATGTAATGTAAAAGATTTGTAAAGCTGCTAATAGAAGATTTGCTTGATAGCGACCTGGACTGTCCAGTTCAACAGCCAAATATTCATTGTTGGGTTTTTGTGTTTGTGTGAAACTGAGTTTAAACCTTAAATGAGTTGATTCTCATGGTTGGCCTTTTGGCTTCAAAGCGCCGTGTTTGATAATGTTTGATAACAATAATTAAAACTTCTATAAGTTTGATATCGTCTAGTAAAATGGTTTTATGTCAGACTACCTAGTTGTTACATTGATGAGCTACTCTATGCTGTAGTTGGGGATATGTTGTTTGCTGCTGAGCATAATTATTTTGTGGCTAAAACAAACATTATTTTTACATCAACTTCTAAGTAATATGAAACTTCTGTTAAAATCATTTGAAGATACATAGTCAGTCCAGTACCAATCCACATCCTCAAGGGAGAAAGACTCACCTGGTATAAATAAAATTTTTAGCTATTGGAGTTAAAAGAAATGTATTTAATCAAAGAATGTCATAAATATGTGTGTATGTATTCCATCTTACGTTGTGCTGCACCAATTGCAGTTTTCTGGTCAATCCCTGGTTACCGATCTTAAAAAGCCTGACCTGCCGATTTTGATTTTGGCTGATACAATTTATTTAATTTTTTTTTTCTGAAATGTTGCTAAATGTAGCAAGATAGTCACTGAGTTGGCAACAATGGGGTGAATATTGTTAACTGCAAACACTTAGACCTGACCTGGTGGGCTGGTCAAACTGCTCACTGTAGAGGAGAAACGGACAAAGGCTGATTTTTAAACCTTTGCTGATGAAGATAAGATTAGGGAATAAGATTAAGGGAATTGGCACCTAGAATTGGCACTGGTCAATAAATCAGTTGGTATAATATATCATATATATGTATATAATGTAAACAGCACTGCCAGAGATGTCAATGGTGAGGACTGGTGAACACTAAACTAAGCATATATAACTCAGACAATGTCCTTCAAAATATGAGTTTGTGTCACATTTTGATCATTCTTCAAATAAATATTTAAAGCAGTTGACTCTGGAAGATATGTTTTTAAATAGTCACGTAAATATTTAATTCTCTTTTTGTCAGATAGAGTTGTGCTTCAGTAATTATTCATGTTTAACTAACTTTGACACATTTAGTTTTAACACCTAAAGGTGTTAAAACTAACTATATTTTCTTTCTTTTGTTCGTTTTTACGGAAAACTAAACCCAATTGTATAGCATCTTGAATACCATGGGAACACTTTTTTCTTTTTTTATAACATGAGATGACATGATATAAAGCTGTTGATAATCTGTTTCAGTTAAATTTGACGTAGGTTTCATTCTACAGTCATTAGCTGTGTATTCTTTTCTTTCCTCTGTTTTAGAGAGAACCACAGTGAGATTGAACGACGCCGGCGTAACAAAATGACCCAGTACATCACTGAGCTGTCAGACATGGTCCCCACCTGTAGTGCTCTGGCCAGAAAGCCCGATAAGCTAACCATACTCCGTATGGCGGTTTCCCATATGAAGTCCATGCGGGGGACAGGCAACACTTCTACTGATGGGGCGTATAAGCCCTCCTTTCTCACTGAACAGGTAGTGTAATGAAAGCTGGTGGTCAACCAAAAGTAATGTAAACTGTTTAAAATAAGGATTGTTTTGTACAGTGAACTCACGGTTTTACCAAAAAATGTGCCACTGCTCAGGTAACGTGAACTCTTACAGAAGAATATAAAGGGCCGTTAAAAATGATCAGCATCATAAGGTGATGTGGTGAGCCGTTTCTGCTGTTTGTTGTTGTATTCTTCCTCTCGTTTTGTCCTGATGACTCTGCTCTGTTCGTCTAAAATTGTACGGTTCCTGATTGTCAGCCTGTAAAAGCAATTTTGATCTGAGAAACCAGCCAAGGAGACCTACTCCACTGTTACTGGGCGTACTGAATTGAACTGTCTTCACCATCAATTTAACACCTTTTCCTGTGGGAAGCGCTTGGTAAAACGGGGACAATGTGATGCTGTCCTGATACAGAATGAGACAAAGCTGAAATCTGTTGGTCTGTCTGTCAGTTCATAGCAGGCCCGTCCTTCTTTCTGCTCTAGCTTGTTGGAACATGCTCTGTGAAGCTAGGAAAGAGTAACAAGTAACAAGTAGAAACAAGCTAGAACACTCTGGTGTTCAAAACCAGATCACTGACTGATAAGTCATTCTTTTTAAATGACTACTTCACTTTCTCAGATTTGTATTTTACATTCCTGGCTGAGACTTTGGTCTCTCCTTCTCTGAACTAGTAGTCATAGCTGTCCTGGGTTAGTTTGACAGAGGCATTATGTGTCACCGGGCCCTCTGACCAGCAGGATAGGCGTGTGAAGTGTCTTGCCCAAGGACACAACAACAAAGGCCTGGGATTGAACCGACAAACTACTTATTGTGGGACAAACTCCTACCGCCATCATCCTGCCATTGTTGACCTTTCTCAACATTTTTCTCTCTCCTTCTGATATCACTACATTGACTGCCCTTATTATATAGGCAGTGACAGGTTTTTTTCTTTGCACAGAGAACTCAATGTGCCACATTTCTTAGGGTGATCAAACAATGGATCTCGTTTCTCAAAAGTCTTCTTTGGGCCTTTTTGATCTTGTAGGAACTGAAGCACCTGATTCTGGAAGCAGCAGATGGCTTCTTGTTTGTGGTGGCGGCAGAGACTGGGCGAGTCATCTATGTGTCGGATTCTGTGACTCCAGTGCTGAACCATCCCCAGTCAGAATGGCTTGGCAGTACCCTGTATGAACAGGTTCACCCAGACGATGTGGACAAGTTGAGAGAACAACTCAGCACTTCAGAAAACTCAATGACAGGTAAATGTAGTTGGATTTTTTTTCTGCTGACAATTTCTCTGCTTATCATTTGTGTAAAATATTTTATTTTTTACTTAATGGTTTTGATGTTGGTTGCCAGAATTTGGAAGTCTGAAAAATGTACAACCCCATGCAAAAAATATAGTCAGTTTTTTCAGGAAAAGTGTTCTGACTGTACAGGAATGACCCAAGGTATTGAAAAATTGCCACAGTTTCCATAAGTTGGCCATCAAATAAAACTTTAAGGAGTTGGATTATTTAATTAGCTCCACATTTTTAAGAAAATTAGGTAGTTTGGTGTTTAAAAGAATTTATCCTTTATAATAAATAATAATAAATTAAGAGTTTGTGGTATTCTGATTTAGTGATGTATTTATGTTAGCTGTGTTACCATCCTCACACCACTAGAGGCAGTATCAGACCCCAAATGATTCTACTAATCAGTTTTAGAAGTACATAGAAAGCTACAGAATTGAACTGTGAGCAGTGCTGAAGTAAATAAAAGAGAGAAGTTTAAATACATGGCGACAGTGGATGTCCTTCCTAAGGGTGAAAATATCACAGATTTTAAAAGAAATTAAAAACAAGACGCCGCAAATACCATACCATATCATACCAACTTTATTTATAAAGCACTATAAAACAACCACAGCTGATACAAAGTGCTGTACATAAAATAGATAAAAACAAATAAAAACTCTTACAGTTTAAAACAAACAAACATACCATGTAAAACTAGATCTCACTGGAGTTGAAAGCCAAGTAAAATAGATGGGTTTTAAGACGAGCTTTAAAAGTGGACAGTGAAGGGGCCTCTCTAACCTGCAAAGGCAGGTCATTCCATAACTTAGGACCCACGACAGAGAAAGCTCTGTCCCCTCTGAGCGTCCGTCTAGATCTCGGTACCTCCAAGAGCAACTGATCTACAGACCTAAGAGACCGATAAGGTATGTATGGTGAAGAAGCTTAGTGAGGTAAGCCGGGGCAAGATTGTGCAGCGATTTAAAAACAAACATAAGAATTTTAAAACGGATTCTAAAATATACAGGCAGCTAGTGAAGTGAAGCCAAGACAGGGGTTACATGCTCTCTCTTTCGAGTTCCTGTCAAAAGTCGTGCAGCCGCATTCTGAACTAGTTGCAGACGTGAAAGCAGTGACTGACTGACTCCCAGATATAAAGAGTTACAATAATCCAGTCGAGTCGGAATAAAAGTGTGGATCACTGTTTCAAAATGCTGCCTGGAAAGAAAAGATTTTACTGATGCCAATCGCCTTAAATGATAAAAACTGGACTTAACCACAGCTCTAATTTGGCTGTCCAATTTAAAATCACTGTCCATCTTAAAACCAAGATCTTTAATAACAGGTTTAAAATACACCTCCTAGGGTCCCACAGGAGCCACTGGGTCCGAACACCATCACCTCTGTTTTCTTTTTGTTAAAATTTAAAAAGTTCAAAGCCAACCAAGCTTTAATATCACCTAGGAGATGTTTGATTGACTGGACATCTTTCTGCTTCAGGGACAAGTAAATCTGGCAATCATCAGCATAACAATGAAATGAAATCCCATGTTTCCTGAGGATAGAACCCAGAGACAGTAAATAAAGACAGAAAAGCAGTGGGCCCAGAATTGAGCCCTGTGGTACACCATATGGCATTGAAGCACTAGATGATTCAGAGTCTCTAATATTTACTGAAAATGTTCTGTCCTCCAGGTAGGACCTGAACCAATTAAGAACAGTGTCACCAATACCTACAATATGCTGTAATCGCGATATTAAAATGTCGTGGTCGACTGTATCAAAGGTAGCAGTTAGGTCAAGTAAAATCAGAACAACATGATTACCAGAATCACATGCTACAAGGATGTCATTAAAAACTCTTATTAAAGCAGATTCTGTGCTATGAAGAGTTTTAAAACCTGATTGGAAAATCTCCAGAATACCATCTTCATCTAAAAACTGTTTCAGCTGATGGTATACAATTTTTTCTAAAACCTTAGAAAAAAAAGGCAGCTTCGAAATAGGCCGATAATTTGCCAGAACAGTAGGATCAATGCCACGTTTTTTAAGCAGTGGCTGCACTACTGCATGTTTAAAACTAGCAGGAACCACACCTGAGGACAGACTGTTATTTATAATTGCACAAAGAGACTGCACTATGCTAGATAAAATATCTTTAAAAAGTCGTGGAGGGACAGGATCACGGGGGGAGCCTGCTGGCTTAATATGGCCAATCACATCCTCTAAAAGTGAGACAGTCACAGGCTCAAACTGAGTAAAAGCAGCAGAGCGAGGGACCGAAACAGAGGGGTCAGATTCAGGAGCTATGGTAAGAGTCCTGACACTACCAACCTTCTCAATAAAGAAACCTAGAAAATTCTCACACATGTCAGGAGAAGCTTCCAAACAGGCATTCTGTGGAGTATTAAGCATACACAGTAAAAATGCCAGTGCTGAATTAGCACCCACAGTTTTAACACCCACAAAGTATCTATGTGTCCAAGTCAGCTGGTGTTAAAGTAACACTTTTCAAAGTGTTAAAAGGTTGACACCCATTTTTTGTTAAATTAACACCAGATATTGTTAATATTCAACAATTAACATTACAACAGTGTTAGTGTTAGAATATAATGTTAAAAGTAACACCAGTGTAGTGTTAACCTCAATACATTATGTCGTATTAAAAAGGTAAATAATTGACCCCACAAAGTGTCGATATCAACCAAATCCAGTGCTAAAAAATATTCAAAACAATACACAGAAATGGAAAGTTCAAATTTTATTAAACCCATTTCAGTATTACAGACCTTTAATGTACAGCTCATACAAAAGTTGAAGAATTCCTGTGCTGAACCTTATAAATGTTGCATGTTGGCATATTTAAGTGTTGTTAATTGTCACTCTGATTTCATTGACTCTGGGGCTCTCCTTTGTTGTTGACACATCAATCCCATAAACTGTTGTTTGGATGAATGTGTAGAAGTTGAGAAGAGTTACATCATAGGACACAGCAAAGACAAAGTGTGCCTTAAAAACTTCATCGAAGGCAGCCACTGCAGTCTGTGCCACACAAGGAATGGGCTTCTGATCAAGGATGACGTAGATCTTCTGAATACTGCTCTTTTTCTCTCCAACGCAGAGAAGGAAGGGCTGTGCAGATCCAACTTTGTCAAGGAATGTCACCATGCTTGTCCCCACCTAATATTAAAAGACAGCACATTAGAAATAATGGTTTTAGTCCCTCACTAGCAACAAATTAAGAACATTTTCCACCTTCCTTTAGCTGTGAACATGCCACGAAAGAGGATGTGACTTGCAAGGAAACTCCTGTGAGCTTAAGTGAAAAGATCAGTTCTAATGGGCTCATACAATTCTTTGTGCCATTATTTTCCCATAACCAATTTTCTGTTCCATATTGTCACAAAATTAACCCTGATCTCACCCATAACTTTAAAAAATAACTATAAAATTATAATACAAATAACGCCAAATAATGACTTTACATGTACAGTCTTGTAAAAATGAGATCAATTTACAGTAAGTGAAGCCCAATAATTCATGTCAAATAATTCATGTGGTGGGCTTCATGAACTTCACAACACGATCAGCTGCCTCAGTTGCACTAATTTTGACATGTTTCTTCCCTTTGGTGGTTGGAGGCAAGAGATGAACCAGGAGGAGAATGGCTGCCAAGTCGCTATCCCATTCTGATAAAGTCAGAACAAGCCATGATTAGAATGCAAACATAGAAAAGACAGTTGAACATATTTATATATTAATACATACCATAATCGCTTGATTCCTCCTGAGCAGACAGAAGGTCATCCAGGTGAATTCTCTGTCGAATGTTTTTACTGACAGTGATGACCTGGGGTTTGTAGAACATTGGCCATCTTGCAATAAACTTCCCCGAGATGTCTTCTCCAAAGAGCTTGATGAAGTCCTGCTCAATCTAACAGAAGAAAAAATACCATCCAAAAACCGTTTGCTAAGTTAGCTTTTTAGATACACACGTCACCAATATTTCAAATAATACAGACATAGAAGTCTTGTCTATGGTTTAAAATGACAACTAGACCTTACTAAATATAACAGAATTCAAATTTACTGTTCGCCTAGATATGACAAAACGACGGGAGCTTGAATTTGGTGGATTTCCCATTCAAAATGGGTTAAATATCGTACACTCTTTCAAGTCTCAAACTTAAAACCACATTTCCAACGAAACAATGTTTGAATACAAATATTTAACTCACCTTTAGGAAAGAATTGTGTCCTTCGTGTAAGAAATGTAGCCGTACTGAGAGACTAACTGGTGGCGTGATGACAGAAAGTAGCACGTGCTCTGCAGCCGTTACGCGAAGGCGGGGCTTAAGCAACACCAACCAATTAACACTGGAATTTAACAACGCAAATATTACGGAATTTATTCTGGCAGTGTTCATTTAAAGCTGTGTGGTGTAAAAAACAACACTCAAACTCTTTATTCGACACTACACCTGAGATTTTAACACTGGCATTTTTACTGTGTAGAGTCAATGGTGTTGAATAAAACACGTGGGTTATGGCTGTTTGAGGAGATAATATTAGCCAAATATTCCCTTTTTGACTCTTTAACTGTGCTCTGGCAGAGTCGCCAACAGTCTTTTAAAATTTGAAGTAACCTGCAGTTTATCCTTCTTCCACCTGCGTTCAGCACGGCGACATTCCTTCCTTACAGCACGAGTTCTGTCATTAAACCAAGGCTCAGGTTTAGTCTTTGGTTGCCTAGTTTTTAATGGAGCAACCGAGAGCCTAGAAATAGTCCATGCGACGATCGGGTAAAACAAGGACAGTGCATCAGAAAGAACTTCAGCTTCACCAGCCGGCCGCTTCGTCTACCACGACGACGATGACGTCTCCGCTGTGCAAGCAGCGCAGGTACCCGAAGCAGGTGACTCGGACTCTCCAACAGAAGCGGGTGATGTTGGTCATCAACATCAAATAGCATCATATCCTGGACCAAAGGTTGGGGGTCTAGTAGTGTGTTGCGATCATACGCCAGCAGAGATTCAGTTCCTTGGATGACACAAGTCAAAAGCAGAATAAACATAAGAAGACGTAAGAATGACAGATGAATTCTTAAATAATATAGAAAATAGTGTCCTCTCATTTCTGAAGTGCAATTGTCTCATTTCCAAATATGGTATGGGTCTGTCGCATGGTCCTTCCTCACCCCTTTCTGTTTGCTGCAGTGAGGTGTACTCAAGTACATTTGGATCTCAGTAACAAACTTTACTGACAAAAATTACGAAGAAGACGACAGGAAGCCGTCTTTCTTTGTGGTTTGTAGCTTGTTTGTTTTTTCGGACAATGTGCAGCCAGCTCCACCAAAGCTCTCACAGTATCGCATAGTTCATAAAACTACAGGGCCATCTGTTGAACACCCAAGTGTTCTAGTTTGTTTCTACTTGTTACTCTTTTCTATCTTCACAGAGCTATGGAGTTCAGTCCGTAGCTCCTCTGTAAAATTGCCTATTACAATTTTCTCAAAATGCAGCATACGTAGGTGACAAAATGTGTTAGGCTTCACATTTTATTTTCCACTTCCATTCGTCCCTCCACAGGACGAATTCTGGACCTGAAGACGGGGACCGTAAAGAAGGAAGGGCAGCAGTCTTCCATGAGGATGTGTATGGGCTCCAGGCGCTCCTTTATCTGCCGCATGAGGTCTGTTGGTTGCTAAAAAATATTACTTTAGTTAAGTATAGTGATGAATTCAGGTGCTTTTTCCATTATGATGTTTTCACTAACTATGCAGTGAGAGGTCGATTGCAGGGCTGGACTCGTTCTGTATGAGCCTATTTTCTTTGCTATCCCTGAATGAAAGGAGAAATGTGTGAAGAAGCTAGCAGCAGAGTTCTGGTCTGTCCATCATTAATAGTGTTAATAGGAGAGAAGAAAAGAAAGAAGGAAAATTCCTATTTTTGAGCCAATTTTGGTCCAAACAGACTTAGACTTAATAATACACAAATAATAATATATTGCTAAATATATATAACTCAGCATTTTCAATCAGTCTCAGACCGTTTTAGTGATGGAATTGTTGAACAGTCTGATAGCCAGTGAATAACGTACATATTATCAACAATTATTGATTTCTCATTTTTAAATTTTGACCACAGAATCAAGGCAAATGACCCAGAACAAAATGTTTCTGGATGTTGCATCCAGTTCAGCCTGTAATCGTAAGCACATCATCTTATAATTCTTAGCGTGTCATGTAGTTCATATTCCTGCTAAACATCTGTCCAGATTTTTAATTGGGATTTTATCCAAGGATTTTCAGTTTTGAGTTTAGTCTGTTCTAAATCTTTATTTCTCATGATTGCCTGTAGGGGGGAGTCTGAAGTAAGAGCCAATTCAATGTCCTTCCATTGGGCATTATAATTTTTATTACAAAGGTTTATCAAGGATTTAATTTGTGCAGAATAGAAGTAGTTCTTTAAATGCCTCTCTTTTCTTTTTGGAGCTGTAGTGTTTTGAATCTAATTCTCTGCTTTTTCCCAAGCCATGTAAATCTGGAAAGCTTTGTGTCCCACTCTATAAATAGCTTTTTGTAATTTCTACCAGTAGGGCTTGAAACAATAAAATAAATCTTGGTATTTGGTTCATTTTGACAGATTCAATTCTTTGGGTTAAACTCATGAAGGGGGTGACAGTCTATCGTTGTATATCCAATCTAATTCTGGTCAGAAGACTCTCATAATTACACTTAGCCATAGTGATTGTGTCTTTGGGGATCAGACTCCCAAGGTATTGCAATGCAGTTTGGTCCCATTCAAGTTTTAATTCGGCACACAAAGATTTTGGTAAATTATAAGTAATTGTCAATATCAGCGTTTTTTTTTTTTTTCACATTCAGTTTATATCATGCAAATTCACCAAAGCTGCTCAAGCTCTGGAATAATGCAGGCAGCGATGTGTTTGCTTCGCTTTTGTACCAACACATATAGCGCCACCTTGTGTGCATCACCCGAAATGTTTATACTTTTGATATACCTTTGTTTGTTTGACCTTTGTTTATACCTTTTATACCTTATTGGTTGGGCTAACAGTTCTATGTAAAGGACAAACAGCAAAGGAGAGAGTCCACATCCTTGTCTCGTTCCACGCTGTAATCCAAACGTATTTGACAGATATCCGTGCATTTGGTTTTGTGTATAGTGACCTGATTGCGTCAATAAAATTGGAATGGAAACCACACTTCTCAAGTAATTTATATACAAAGTCCCGGCTTACTGTATCAAAAGCTTTTTCAGTATCGAAGCTGATCGCTGCAGCTGGTATTTGGCATTTTTGAATGTTTTTTTTAAGTTTTGTAATATTAGCCATTAACCTTTGATTTTTATTATGCAACAATACAGATAGGTTAAGTTGTTCCAGGAATTGCTTAATTGCCTGCCCATCTTTTAAGCTTGGTTGTGTGTATAATTGTTTATAGCAGAGGTGTCAAACATATGGCCCACGGGCCGGAATTGGATGATTTAGTCCAGCCCAGGGGCTAAATGCATTATCATTATTCAACAATGATTATTGAAAAAAAAACATGTACTTTGTTTAATTGAAAAGCTGCTAGTTCCTATATTGTCCACGAGGGGCGCTGTGTTTTATTCAGAGCAGACAACATGATGCAACACTGCATCGGAACTAAGCAGATGGTAGCACTGAGCTTCAGGTTCTGTAAACGGCTTCGATTCTATTGCTTTACCTGCTTTTTGTTTTGACCCGAGCAACCTCATCAACAAAATGTATTTGTCAAAAAAGAGAAAGGTAGACACATTTAATGCCATGATGAACTGAAATCTAATGTGTACTCTTGTCATTTAGGTGTGGAAGTGCGCCACTGGATCATATCTCCCTAAATCGTCTATCTAACATGAGGAAAAGATACAGGTAGAGTCCAAAAACAGCTGTGATTCAGACTTTTAGTGGATTTTGATTTATTTGGTAAAATATGAATAATGTGTTGTGATAACCAATAGGAAAATAAACTTAGGTTTCATAATAAATTGCTTTCAGTAGCTCTGACATATGCAGGCTTTTTCTGCCACACCTTTTATATTCAAAGTCTAAGATAAAATGTTTTTCTGTCAATGCTGAGCCTGCGGCACATGTCTAATATTTAGATAATCTGTGATGCACAAAGAAAGAATTCTGGGACGGAATGTTTTAACTCGTTTTTCATCCAGCAGCCCACAGAGATGAGGTTTCATTGCACTGCAGTAGATGTGAGCATGAAACGGAAAAAAAAGAACAACACAGAATGACTCTTCTGTCAGATGGATGCGGTTTATGTGTGAAAAGCCTGTATGCAAGAGAGTAGCAGCTGTTTAGTCTACCTGTGTTTCTGTCCTTCCGTGTTTGATTATCAGGAACGGCTTGGGACCATCCAAAGAAGGAGAGGCTCAATACTCTGTGGTGCATTGCACTGGATACATCAAAGCCTGGCCCCCTGCAGGTAAACAGATGTTCTGAAGCCCAGATCTCTCAGTGCTACGATCCAATCGTTGTTTTGATAAAAGGTTTTTGAGTGGAATGAGAAGACACTTTCACACAAACTCAATATCTGAAGACAGAAAAAACAGATGCAAGTATTAGCATTTGGTCCTGGTGGATCAGAGCCAGGTTATAAGTTGTGGGAAGGTTTTGAGTCGATCTCGGCAGCAGGTGACAAACTGAAGGCCCTCAGGATGCTGAGACCAGAACTTCCTCTTCTGACACCTGCTGGCCTCAGGTTTGCAACCAGCTTCTGACTGAGAAACCAGTAACCTGCTCCCAGTGTCAGGATCTCACTGAGGAAGAAACCGCATTAGGTTTCTGTTGCTTTAATATTTCTGCTATAACTGATGTATATTTGTATAGAAAATGAGTCAATGTGATTTAATTTAAAATTTTATGTCTTTGTGTCATGAGGTAGATCTCAGCCAGCTGGTGAGAGAAAAAGTAGATCTTGGTCTCAAAAAGTTTGAGCTCCTGTGATTGAAATGTTCTCCTGAATAGACTCTGCTCTGAGTAAGAGAGAGCGATTCTTTTGTCTTCATGCTAACTCTGTCTAGGCCTGTTGTGATAAACAATAAATCAATTAATTGTACCATAAATTAAAACTATCAACCTCATTTTAATTATTGGCTTTATCATTTCTTCCGGTGTTTTTCTCTTTCTATTGATGACACTGAATGAAAACAGGCTCAACACCGGTGCTCTCCACTGACCCTCCCTTCCTCATTTCCTTAGTGTAATCCACAGTGTACACTACATGATCTTAGAGCTGTCTGCCAATTGCTGGCCGACAGCTCTAAGATCTGAGAGACCACACATTAGCCGACAGAAATCCTAGGTATTACGGTTCGATTGGGTTCAATCATGCCGTGTGGTTGTGACGGTGCAGTGAGAGGTTGTAGAAGGAGTTAGCAATGGTGGTTAGCCACTCTAACCCAAAAAAGCAGGACGCACTGTTATAGTGTTCCACACTTTCACTTTATTTTGCTTTGTCTATGTAAAGCCAGATCTCCACAGTACTAAGATTATAGTCTCATACATGAGAAAAGTAATGATAGTTTACCGCTCTGCACCTCATCATCGCCAATTATCTCCCCTACAACGTGGAAGATGAATTCTCACTCTGCACAATACTACAACAAAGGAAAAAGGGAATAAGGCCACAACATAGACCCACAACATTGTACTGCTTGGTTCTACGAAACAAACAGTATAATGACTGTTACATGGTGTCCAACAATGGGCACAAAATAATGGCTACAAGTTCAGTTAATTAATTTTAAAACCAGGCATTAATAAATGCTTTCCTACAATCCACCTGCAATGTATGTCGCTAGTGTCAATCCTGACTAAATGAAAATCATTATGACCTATTTATGTCATGTTAACGAACAGCTGAAAAGTTACCAGATTTACCAACTGTGGTAGCAATTTATAAGCTCCTTCCCTTGTCATTTCTATATTCTTTGCAGAAATGTTGACTAAACATTAATGTTTTTCCACATATCGCCTCCAATGTCTGCTGGACTTCGGGTTGTGCCGTGTCAGCTGTTTGGGATTCTCCTCGTGTTACCCCTCAGAAAGCATGGAGGAGAATCCGCGCTTTCTGATTGGCTACCTGTTACATTCAACAGGCTGTGTAAACAGTCGGGGAAAACCCCTGATTTAGGTCAGACAACAATAACGATCTGTTGTAACACACCACATTCTACAGGATGATCGGTTACAAAATCACAAGACTTAGAACGCCTAACATTCTAAGATTGTCGTTAAAGGAAAAATTGCGGCAAAAAAGTCATGTAGCGTGAACTATTGCATCAGGTAGTTGGATGTTCCCGTCTTCTGTATTTAAATCTAATGATTAGTGAAGGGTAGACTTCATGAGCTGCACTCTTTTGGTTGAATGCAGTATTTATTTCCACTTTGGCTTTATGTTGTTAAGTTTTTATTCAAGTACATTTTTTGTTGAGACAGAATCCATTTTATTCTTGTTTTTGGTCGTTTTGTTTCTCAGTTCTAGGGTTAAGTGTTCTTTTGAAAATAAAGGCATGCATTATAACATCATTTCCATTAAATCAGTGTAAAAAGGTCTTCAAACAATATTGTCATTTATCGCAATAATTTTTGAGACAATTATTGGCTCAGCAAAATTTGTTATGGTGACAGGCCTAACTCTGTCTGCAGCAGGTCTAATCATCACTTCCAATTAGTTCCTCATAAAACATCACTAAAGCTCTGGCGTTTATTCCAAAATATAGTTTTTGCTCTTTTGTTTATTAATTATTTATAACTCTATTGCACCTTTTATGACATCTTCTTTTCCCTATATAACTCAGGGATGACCATACCAGAAGAGGATTCAGAGGCGAGTCAGACAGGAAAATACTGCCTGGTGGCCATTGGGAGACTGCAGGTGTGTTTCAGCTCAACCACTATTAACAACAGACTCAACTCCCACACCATGATTGCACAGCAGCTTCCTCTTCAATTTGCCTAGAACTCTGACTCTCTTCAATTTGCCTAGAACTCCGACTCTTTTCACACTGCTACATATGAGCCTTGCATTTCAGTGTGCCGGAAGAAATGGTGTCATGAGAAAATGCCCTTCCTACATATTAACCACCTTCTGATTATTGGCCCTTACTGTCAAATAAAACCAGCTCATTGTTATCTGGTCTACAGAGACAGAAGGTCTACTGAGCCTTATTATGAAAATAATCACATAATGACACAATGACATTGTGGGTAAGTAGCATTTTCACACTGCAGTTTAACACAACTGACAGCAGATAAATCAAAGCCAAAAACCAGCACACTGTGGGTTTCTTAATATTAACATATTGGTTGATTGTGGCTTTCTTTAAGACCTATTCTTCATTGCTGCATGATGTGGTGACCTTTGCGCCTGTATGCGCCCCCCTCAGGTAACCAGCTCTCCAGTCTCCATGGATATGAATGGCCTGTCAGTTCCAACAGAGTTCCTCTCACGTCACAACTCGGATGGTGTCATCACTTTTGTTGATCCACGCTGCATTAATGTCATTGGTTATCAACCTCAAGTAAGCTCTGTGGGATTTCACAACTTTCTTCTTGTAGAAAATGCTGTGCTGCTCCTTCAGATTTTCAGAAACTTTGTTAGAGAAAGCTGACTGGTACAGTAAAAACTGGTTATTTTCTTTGGTCATTAAAAAAGCAGCTAACATACTGCTGTATATATATTTGTTTTCTAAGGTTTTACTGAATCATGAAGAATCATAGTGTTTATGTCTACATAAGTAGGCAAAATAGATGTTGGTTTTTCAACCACTCCTTTGAGTGTTCAATAACATTACGGTTCCAGTATACAGGTGATGGTCAAAAATTTGAATAAAAAAGTTTGAATAAAAAAGTTATAACAAAGTTTAATTAAATCAGTAATTCCATTCAAAAAGTGAAATTTTTATACTATATTCATTCATTACATACAGACTAATATATTTCAAATGTTTATCCCTTTTAGTGTTGATGATTATTACTGACAATTAATGAAAACTCCAAATACGGTATCAGAAAATTAGAATATTGTGAAAAGATTCAATATTGTAGACCCCCAGTGCCACACACTTAGATGATTACATCTAATTAACTCAAAACACATGCAAACACTTTTAAATAGTCTCTCAGTCAAGTTCTGTAGTGTACACAATTGTGGGGATGACTGTGTAGCCTACAGTTGTCCAAAAGATAACTTTTGACATCTTGCACAAGAGGGTAAGAGACAAATGTCATTGCTAAAGATCCTGGCTATTCAGAGCTCCATGTTCAACCACATTCACAGAGGAGAATGGGAGGAAAAGATGTGGTAGAAAAAAATGGACAAGCAATCAGGATAACCACCTCCTTTAGAGGATAGTGAAACAAAACCCACTGAAAAATATTAGGTAAATCCACAAAGATGGAACTGCAGCTAATGGAATCAGTGTTTCAACAATCACCACACAGATTTATGCAAGACATGGGTTTCAGCTGTTACATTCCCTTGAAAAAGAGACTGCATCACAAGCATCTCACTTGAGCTAAAGACAAAAGGACTGGACTGCTACTGAGTGGTCCGGAGTTATTTTCTCTGATGAAATTTAGAATTTTTTTTTTGGAAGTCAAGGTTCCAGAGTCTGGAGGAAGAAAGTATTGGAGAATTGTGAGGCGCAAAACTCTCAAATATATAGATAAACATAACAAACCACAGAGACGAGTTCTTACTGCCAGCCACGACGGGTCGGGAGATTTATTTACACATTCTACCACGGATGCATCATACAAAACATAGTTTCTCAAATCTCAAAGTCTCAAAATCAAAAGTCCCCAAAATCTCTCCGTTCTTTGTCTACAGACATTTTTATAGTTTCCAATGACGTCGGTTTGCGTCAAGATTCTGGCTGCCCATTGACTGAGTGTGTGTTGGAGTTTCCACGAATTTCTTACTGACCTTTCCTCTGAACATCTGCTCCATCTCAGAACTGCAAAGCAAGTCAATTAATTATAATTGTTGTTCTTATCTATCTAAACAGCTTACTTTCCAACCCGAGTTTTGTTCCAACATTTTGTACTTTCCAGATAAAATCAGGTCAGATCGACCTTTCTGGCACCAGAAATCTTTTCCCTTAAAAACAACTCTTAGGAAGTATTCCTGCTCCGACATAATCCCCCCTATTCCGCTTTCAAGTGGAATACTAATTAACCTTAGCTGTTGTTTTTGTTTATCGCTATATCAAGTTCCATGACTATGTGTGTAAATATAATTCTCAAATATAAATCTTCAAATTTGTATAAAAGTTACTTAAAAGCGAATAGGAATTAAATGGGAGGATAATTATTGTTCATGAGTAAATTACTAATATAATAATTTCAACATGTTGATTAAACACAAATGTCCATTGCTTCCATGATTGTTCTTCCATTTGTATAAGGTCGAAAAACGCTGTCGGCCCTTCTGCCGGCTTGACTGGCTAAAGTTCTTCCAGGGAAAAAACTACCTTATGGTCCCCGCCCGCCTCGGGCGACCGCCAATACTGATAGAATCGTTTGGCACAAATGTAACACAATCATGGATCCACAGTGGATCAATTACAGATATTCATCATAATGTTTAATACATCAGCATTGATACATAATCTTGATGACAATTCATATAATAATGTTCATAGTGCAACTGTAATTTAGTGTGATTGAGTAATTAAGTCTTAAATCATAATAAGTGAATCTTCACAGAAATAATTGTTTGGTTATACTTGTGCTCACCCATGCACTCTCATACGTTCACATTCTCATATTCTCATTCATACTCAGACATTCTCATCCATGTCTTACATATTCATGCTCACTCACATTCACACGTGTTCCTAGTGTGTTAACTATGTGTAGTCCACCCGTGTTGTATTGTATATAAATTGTACATAGTTGTTTAACAAATGTGTGTAATGGTGTGTACAAACAGTGTATTTTATTCTACTCCAGGTTTTTGTTTCCATTCCTTAAACCTTTAGTCCATCAACCAAACCATAAGTGCTTTTTGTTCTAGCATCGAGGTGTCCTTGAGCTTAGCAGTCCTTTGCATTGGTCTTTTGGTCATGGGTTCATCGGTCCAGGCAGTCTTATGTGTTAGTCCGTGTGTTGTTCTCCGTCCTTGGTCATCCATCTGTATACAGTCTTCAAGATCCATTTTCTCATGATAGGGATCACACAACACACAAGCAGAAAAATAACAATTAGAACTAATACCAGAGTTATTCCTATTTTGGCTGCAAAGGCTCCCCATTTTCCTAAAATTTCCTCCAGACTTTGCAATGGCCAACTCCATTTCTTTTCCACTCTTAATTTGTTTAGTTTTGTCATTGCTGCTCTAAATGTACCTTTTGGTGCGGTGTTCATAGGAATATACGTACAGCATTCATTAGCAAACATATGACAGACTCCTCCCATTTTGGCCAAGATCCAATCTAATGCTTGTCTGTTTTGTTTCGCCATCCTACTTGTTTCATGAAGTTGTTCTCCTAGGGTCATAAATCCTTCAACTGTAAAATTGATCATTCTCTGTTGGTTGTAATAGACATAGTTAATCCATTCAACATTTTTATTAATTGTAATCCAAGGAATAATAGATTCAAATCCTGCAAGAACTTCATGTCGTGTTTTGAATTCATATGGAATTCCTCTTGGTTGACCTATAAGATCCAAATATACTCCTTCATTTAATCCATAATCCCCCAGGCTTCTACGAAGCCTAGTTTTATTGTTGTGCGTTCCTACTATGTCTTTTACTCCTTCATACACTAGAGTTACTGGTACTTTCATTCGAACAAGGGCGCAAAGACCTACCCATTTTAGGGGCAATGTGTTGATTAAAATGTCATCACCACACATCCAGTAACTGTCTGCCACTGGATATGTCTGATCACCCAGAAAAGATAGTGGGGGAATAGTTCTCGTCACATTTACACAATCTTCTTCTGTAAATTTTGGGTTTTGATACCATATAGGTTTTGTAACAAATATTGGAGTTACTTTAGAATGTTAAAACCACGATAGGACCCAAATAACATTACAATTCACAGTTGTGTTCCCTACATGTACTCCTCCATTATTTTCAAATCCTCCACTTACAAAACATTCATATTCTGCATCATAATCTACCTCATAATTTGCTGGAGGATCAGGTTGTGTAGTGGTAATATTAAAATCTGCACAAACAGATTCGAACTTATAACCTGCCCATTTATCTAAATAACGGTGTGAATTATGTGAACCGTATAATAATCTGCAATTCAATCCGCACATTGGTTTCTTAAAGAAAGAAACTACATTAACTTCTGGAACAAAATTACCTTCCTTGCATTTTTGTCGTTGTTTAATCGCGTAAAGCGCGTAAAGGAATACTTCTTATGAAGCATTCATAAGAAGTAAAAGGAAAGGCACAGAATACATGTTGCTTCAAGTCCAGTCAACACACATTCCAAAGAGGCAGAGAAAGAAAAAAAATGAAATAAAATTAGAATTAGAATAACTGGATAAAGATATGTGGGCCTACAGATGGTTTAATTTGCTTCTGTTTCAGGGAGCAAATTGATGGTAAGCTTCTCCAAGTCTCCATAAATTTGCTGATGAACCCCTAAGTGAAAACCTGAGTTTTCCTATGTACTTCGTTTAATTGAAAATGTACAGTTCCAATATAGTCCACGAAGGGCGCTGTGTTTTATTCAGAGCAGACAACATGATGCAACACTGCATCGAAACTAACAGCAGATGGTAGCACTGAGCTTCAGGTTATGTAAACGGCTTCGATTATATTGCTTTACCAGCTTTTTACAAAATGTCTTTGTCTAAAAAGAGAAAAGTAGACACAGACTGTCGGATTTTTCAAGAAAAATTGACTACCGGTACTTCTTATTTGTTCACTGAGATGAATGAAAAACCCATGTACCTTGTGTGCCTGCAGCAGGTTTCAGTGCTTAAGGAATGCAATATTTGGTGCCACTATAAAACTTAGTGTGGCGAAAAATACAGGAGAAGCCCTAGCACGGAGAAGAACTGGGTGCTGATGGTTGAGTTGAAGATCCAGTTCAATCTCCTGTTTTCTGTAAACACCAGGATTTATCACGGAGTTTTAACCGGTTCATCCCGATCATGCCGGGCGACGATTCCTCAACATTGTGGAAGAGCTCTGGTTACAGTAAGACAAAACCTGGGAGCAAATCCAACTTTTCACCTACAATATAAATAAAAGCGAAGAACACAAAGTATCTCCATTAAAAAAAAACACAAATATGTTGACACATTTTCTCCCTCATAAATGCAATTTGGCGCCTTCACAACCAAATAACATAGGAACCGCATTGGTCACGTGGTTTTTCTTAAACCACGTGACAAAACCCTGTGCAGGGTTTTGTTTTGTTTGGTCAGCGCTTGAGGTTTTGGTGTCATCTGGCCCATCACTAATTATCAGTTCTAATCATCAACATTAAAAGAAAAAAACTTTTTAAATAAATCAGTCTGTGTGCAATGACTGGATATAATATACAACTTTCCCTTTTTGAATGGAATTACTGACATAAATCAAATTTTTTTCTGATATTCTAATTTTCTGACCAGCACATGCACATGCAGTCATTCAACCACTTATGCACACACTGATTATGAGGTAAATGATTGTAGAGACCCAGAAGAGCTGTTTTTTGTCTGTTAAAAAAAAAAAAAAACAGACAGCGAATTTGTTAAATCTCATTTAATATGATAAATCTTAGTTAATCTCTTGTTGTCCTTAAACTTAAGGACCTGCTGGGAAAGGACATCCTGGAGTTTTGCCATCCTGAGGACCAGAGTCACTTGAGAGAAAGTTTTCAGCAGGTAGGTTAGAGGCGTGGCCAGTCTTTTCACCTGGCAAGTTTTTTTTTCCTGCTACTCACTCCTGTAACTATGGAAGAGGATGGATGGATGGATAGATGAATGGTCTTCTCTCTGCTGGCTCAAACCTCTTTGCTCGCATGCAAATTCTTTTCTGCTCCCTCTCAAAACAAAAATATACCATCGCCAGGGATTGTTGCAGCCAATAGAATGAAAAGCTGTGACCAAAGGCCAGATTTCAAGGCCACTTACATCACAGTGTTTGTCAAATTTGAAGACTCCTAGCTGTGCAAGTATCTGCTCTATTCATCAATACATCACATAATTGCAAATTTCCTTACATGTCTGCATTAACAACCAGCTCCCTCACCGGCTGTCAGCTAGCTGGGCGCACCAAGTTCAATGTACTGGGAGATACAAGACATGTAAATCAATGTCAGGGAGTAATTAAAATTGATTAAGATTTACAAAATCTTGGTTAGTCTTCATAACGTGGGGCTGAGCCCCGTTATTAACATTTTCATTCTATTGGCTGGAATGTTGCCAGGCAAAGATACTTTTTTGTTTCAAGAGAGAGCAGAAAAGAATTTGCAAGCCAGTAGAGAGATTCGCAAGCAGAGAGTTAATTGTTTTGCCATTCATCTATCCATCCATCCATTAAGTTTTGCTCACAAGGAGAAAATTTGAGTGGGAGTAGAAAGGTTTGAGAAAGCACAGGGAATACGTGAAAGAGAGCAGAGGTTTTCAGTGGACTAATTACAAGTTTTGAGAAGATAAAATTCAGATTTTATCTCTTTGAAATCAAAATATTTGTCTCCCTTACTCTTTCCAATTGACTTGTGCACCTGTGGAATGTTTCAAACAAGTGAATTTTGAGCATTCCACAATTTTCTCAGTCTTTTGTTGCCCCGGCTTCAACTTTTTTGGAAGGGTTTTTAGTAATCAAAACCCAAATAAGTCAATATTTGCAAGAACACAATAAAATTTATCTGCTTGAATGTTAAATATTCTTTGTAGTATATTAAACATAAAAAGTTTGAAAAAGATTGGGAAGTCATATAGCATTTTTATGTATGTTTTTCAAAATGCCACAACTTCATTGGAATTGAGATTGTATTTTGGGAAAGTGTGGTTGAAGTGGAACAAGATCTTCCAATTGATGGACAGCAGTTTTGTTTGAATATTTCCACTGTATGACAAAAAAGGATATTTCTATTTATTCTAATCTGTTCATACCTAGATAGTACACCATGTAAAGAGTTAATCTTTACATGTACTCTTAGAGTTCATGTAAAGATGTACAGAGATCAGCATGAGCTGCATTTTGTGAACCTTGTCAAAGCATACAGAGGAAGTACAGAGGAAGTGTGTTAACTGAATGAGGAAGTCAGAGGTGACGGAAAAATATGTGAGGATAGTAAAGGATGTGTACAAATATAATAATTGAGATTAAAGGTAAGAAATTTATTACTGATGTAATCGTCCATTAATTTAGTAATCAAAGAATCAAGTGCAGAACGCAAAATGCATTTTGCTGAAAGGACATATTCAGAGCAATTATTAAGCCAGTAGAGAGATAAAGTTAAAAAATATATATATACATTTTGCATTGAAGGTGAAAAACCCTCTTTGTAAATATGTTCTACCTAAAACGTCTCAAATGGCAGATTTAGCTTCAAATTATGCAAAGAAACCTTACATTAAGCACCTTTTGCTATCTAATTATTAATATGTTAGAAAAAAATAATGGTCAGATCAGTATATATTTTATCAATAGTAAAATTTAAAAAAATAAATAATAATTAGATCTTCTTATTCCTGGTTTGTGATGCCAAAAACAGTGAGATAATAACAACAGTCATCAAAATACTGAGATAAAGACTGTTTATTTTGTTAGTAAATTAAACAATACTGCACTTATGTGTGTTTGCTCTTCTGCAGGTAGTGAAACTGAAGGGACAGGTGCTGTCTGTCATGTATCGTTTCCGATTGAAAAACAGAGAGTGGATGCTGATCAGAACCAGTAGTTTCACCTTTCAGAACCCATACTCTGACGAGATAGAGTACATAATCTGCACCAATACCAACGTCAAGTAAGTTTTTTTTGCATTCTGTTTATTACTTTTATTCAAACTCTACTAAAAGTCTGGATCTCTTCATTCTGAAATCACCAAACAAGAACTTTATTGAAGAAAAATCAAATCTCTTATTTAGGTGGCAGCTTAGGCAAGCCCCTCTTTCCGAACCCTCTGTCCCAGAGCCTTATGTTTCATTTTGTGAAGCAGCTACTAAAATAAGGTTTGTTTTAGATTACTATGTAGTGACCTAAAGAAAATGCCTTTCCCAGGTCGGACTATGACATAATTTTTTCAGATTCACTAATATATAATAGTATTCTGTGAAAATATTTACTCTCTGCTCTTAAAGAAGTTTCACTGGTTTGAACAAAGTCTTCTGTTAAACAAAGTGCCAGGGATGTCTAGCTGCTCTCTAGTGCAGGGGGAGATGAGCAATAATTCATTTCCTGAAGAGATTCAGTCTTGGTGTCACTCATGCATGAAGGAGTTCTGTGTTAGTTTATTGAGGTATGACCTGTAATGCATTACAGCAACACATACAACATCAAACCAATGGTTTATAAGCATTGTTTCAGGTATGAACTCTTCACAGATGTTTGAGAAGTTGAATGAGAAGCTGACTGTTTCTCCTGGCTTTTTCAGGCAACTGCAACAGCAACAGGCAGAGTTAGAGGTTCATCAGAGAGATGGAATCACAGCTTATGATCTGTCCCAGGTAATCCCCTTTTTTAAAAGCTGTTCTATAACTGTATTTATAACTTAAGTATAAATGCAGTGTTGCTGATTTATTGGACATCTACATGAACAGGTGCTTTAAACTAATTCAGAAGTGACATAGTAAATGTTATAAATTTGTCCTAGAAAATGACCCTAATAAAGAAAAGAAACAAACTGGTTGATAATTCCCAGCGTTGTATTTCAGTTGTAAGGTGGTTAGTGACTGTTGTAGCATCAATTCTCAAACTCGCTTATGGACACTTGCATTCAAGCTGAAAGAGTCCCACTGGTTCTTTTTGGCCTGTTGGTCTAGTCAGGGGTTCTGGAGAGGAGGGTCTTCTCAAAAGTCAAGCCTTTATATTCAGAAGGAGCGGTGTGTTTTTAGTCCTGGCCATGGAACACTGGTTCTACTCTACACATTCAAAAGGATGTGGGGGGTACTTCAAGAATATGAGATACTAGACCCATATTCTCGAATACCCGACCCCATTTAAAGGGGTCGAGTATTGATATGGGCTGTTAGTCCCTGTAGGACCAGTGTCAGAGCTAGGCCCACATTGAGAATAGTAAGTTGGACACAGTCCAGTGAGAGGTGGACGCAGTCAAGGTTACGTATTGACACCGGTCTGTATATACTCATTATTGTGAGAGTGCAGAGTTCTTTCTCCGGGTCAAGAAAGAGCTCCTGCCCCAAGTGGAGTTTAAGTATGTTTGCGTCTTGTTCACGAATCAGTGGAAAATGGAGTAGGTCAGGGTGACCTACTGAGTCTGCAGTGATGCAAGTCTATCGATTTGTTGTGGTGAAGAGAGAGCTGAGCTTGGTTATCCAGAAGGAACTGCTGCTTCTCCACATCAAGAGGAGCCAGTGACTCGGACATCTGATTAGGGTGCCTTATGGATCCCTGAATAGATTCCATTGGGAGGAAACCTTTCTCAGCTAACCATGGAGAGGGAAGTCTGGGCTCCCTGCTTAGGCAAATGATGAATTAATAAAAAGCCAATGCAAATTGTCAAAGGACAATTTGCAGTTTGTGGTTCTATCACAGTTTCTTTTATGATAATAGAAAACCATAAAAGAAACCTTTGTATTATAACAATATCAATATGAAAACAAAGAACGAATTAAATCTGTCATACATCTAAAAAAAAAAAAAAGAAAAAAGAATTATAGAAAAAGAAAGAACATTTTCTAATAATTTCTAATAATGACATGGGATTTCCTCCCTTGTTAATTTGTACCTATAACGGGTGTGATTGAAAGTACACCCACTTTTCAGACTGGTACCACTGTTCAAGGAGAATTCAGTAACAATTGTCACAAAATCCTCTAATGTCCTTTTCTAAAAGTTGTCAGTGTCTGCACTGCAGAAGAACACCACCAACCTGGTTCTATAAATGTTCTTCATTTAGTGAATGGAGAAGACATGTCCTACATGCACATAACCATGTTATGTTATTTGTAATGATATTGACATAACATGTAACTGTTCCTTTAGGTGCCTGTGGCTGGAGTCAGCAGTGGAGTCCACGATACTGGGAAGACCATTGATAAGACAGAGTCTCTCTTCTCCCAGGAGAGAGACCCACGCTTTGCTGAAATGTACACCAGCATATCTGGCTGTATGTCTGCAACACACACATACAGTTGTTTTTGTGACTTGTGGGGTCTTTACATTGACTTCCATTCATTTTCCACAGCCTGGCCCTTACCCTAACCTTAACCATCACATACATAACACTTAACACAAAAACAGCATTTACCTTCATGGAGGAAGACAAGGAGCACCCACAACCCTGCATTGGAATACATCCACACCAGGATATAAAAACCTGGTTCACACACATACACACACACACACTTGCATATCGTGAATTTTTACATAGATTGCTTTGATGTGTAACTGGGACTTTTTTTTTATTCAAAGCGGGAGACAAGAAGATGATGGTTCCCTCTTCTACGGCAGGAGGACAGCCTCTCTACACCCAGAGCTCTCCCTTCCAGCAGGGCCATTCTGCCAAAAGCTTCAGGTACGCTTTAGTTAGTGGATATGTTCTGTTCTGGCAGCTTACATCTGTAAAGTAAAACCTTTGTATTTGACTTTTTGGCTGGTTTTGTGTTTTTATTCACAGCTCTTCTGTGATCCATGTTCCTGGTGTAAATGACATCCAGTCCTCAGGGTCGTCCAATCAGAATCTAGCTCAGATTTCTAGACAACTTAATACAGGCCAGGTAGCTTGGTCAGGCAGCCGACCCCCATTCGCTGGGCAGGTAATGCACATGGAGTGAAAGTAGTGGACATTAAAAAAAAAAAAAAAAAACACAGCTTCAAACTTCCTCATGGCTGAAGTGACTTTGCATGAGCTGTGTTGTCAAGTTAACTAATCCGAATCGGTTGTAAGCTTTGTACCATTACACAGATTTGGCCTCCTCTGTGAGGTCAAAAACTAGATCAAGTCAATGACTGTCTCCTTCAACTCTTCTAAAGACATAAAGTGTTTTCGACAGAATTTCAGTCCTCTGATCAATTTAATGATACACAAACATCCCAGAGATGTTTGTGTATCAATAACTTAGAAAATTGTGTATCAAGAACTTAGAAAATTATTCAAAACAACTAAAAACCTGCAGCAAAAAACTTAAAAAGTACTGTGTGTTTACTCATCTCCCACATATCATTAGGATTAGCAGTATTTGTTCTACTGTCATTGAAATAATTTAGACCTATGAAACTCTTTATGTTTTTCATTCATCATTGGTAAGATGAATAAACAATAAAAACTATCGATGTAACACCGCACAATACATACCTTGAAATTTTGGTAAAAATTAATCTCCAGACAAAGCTGATCTTCATCAAATGGCCAGTATTAAACCCTATCTGTTTCAGGAAGAAATGCCCCTTTTCACTGGCTTTAACGGTCCCAGCTCCACTCTACTGGACTTGCTTTGTGAGCATTTCCACCAGTAATTTTTGATGCCGGTTCCTGCTTTTTAGGTCCTTACTTTCAGAGTAAGGCCAGCTGGGCCATCCCTACTTGTGTGGGTGACGCAAGCTTTGCTCCTATTCACTAATAGAGAGAAGAAAAGCAAACAGCGTAAAATTTCAAACTCGCTGCAACTCAGGAGTAATGGAATCAGCAAGCGGTGGAACAATGAGATCCCGGCTTTTCTTTGCATCGGACTTCAATATTCAGTGGCAACTTGATGGAGCAGTGAAGAATGAGTCGTTTTTCTCAGCGTAGCAGAGAGATCGGCAAGCCTCGGTTAGCCACTTCGGAGCCTGACAGCCCCACGATGCACCCCGACTCAGATGCATGATAATGCCCTGCCAGGTTTGTAGATATATCTGTCTGTTTTTTACTGTATTTAAGGTTCCATACATAAAGTCATGGAAGACTTTTGAAATAATAAGTCTGCTGTATTTTCATTGCACAACATGTGCATGTTCTAGAGACACTCAGTTGCACATTCCTTCGGATCAGAGTGAAATTTTATTCATAGCTGCACAGGACTAAAACTTACAAGTAATTACATTTTGTCTTTAATGTACACAACTATCCTGTTATTTATAATTGTGTATGAATGGTAAAAAAAAATGTGTTTGTATACATACAAAGTAATGTCTGTTTACATTAGTAACTCTGTTATGTATTTACATTCATATTCTATAAGATATAATATCTGATTACTTTTCCCAGGGAACAGAAGAAGAAGAACATGGTTGACATGATAAACAAAGGAGAGAACCATCAGCAACATGAACAACTACTCTTGGATAGTAGCTACCAGCAAAGAGATGGCAGAGCTCCATATAAAAGAGATGAGGGAAACAAAAGAATGCAAAATAAATGCTGTTGTGCTCTCAATGAATGAAGTCTCTTTTTCATACCCACTCCACACATTATTGTATATAATGTAGTTTGTATAGCATCAAAGTCTTAATACAATCCTCTCAAAAATGTGACGAGCCTTTGACAGAGTGAAAAACACTATATTATGTGTTTCATTGACGTTTGACATTGTAGATTACCAATGAAGGCATATGCATTATTCAGCAAACCAAATATTTTGACATTACTGTCAGGGTTGTTATCAAAAGGAACCCAGAATACCAGCCCAGGGTTTCCCCCAGTGTATTATAAGCCTGGCGGCCTGCCATGCTTTGCTAGTCCCCCACCAGGCTAAGCGTTACTTATTTTTATTTTTAGAAAAATTTATAATTGGGGGAGGGGGAAATTGTTTCTTTTTTTTTTTTCCTTTTTAGATAAATCTGTAAGCCAGCTTGCAAAGCTGAGTGTTTAGTGCTCTGTTTGTGCTGTTAAAATGTTTGTTTGTGCAACTTTGGTTTCTGAAATATTAAAAATAATTTTTTAGGTCATCCAGAGTTCACCATCACCCCATCTTACTTTGTTAGTACAAGTTTGTGCCATTAAAACTACTGCAGTGAAGTTGTTTTCAAGTTGGATATTGGATATAACGATATCAGCGGGGTGAGCGGCACATAGCTCAAGGTTGGTCAAAATTAGCGTTCATAAATCGGATCAACCATTCTCTACCGCTCCCTTGTCAAGCACTCAGAGATTCACTGAGGGATTGTCAACAAATTTCAGACTCCTGAAAAACAAATGTAAATGGACCAACTGACACAAAATTTATGCTGTTTTATGAGATGCACTATTCTCTAGTGAATTGTTAGTCATACTCAATATTTTTAATAATTGTAATATTAAAAAGTATTTTTTCTGGTAGGCACTGGTTTTGCGTGTGTTCAAATAAGATTCATACTGCCGATTTTCACTTTGGCTTATAATATAGTCATTTATTATCAGAATAATGTTCATTGTCTTGTTTTCCATAGATCCATATGAATACGACATAAATCAAAACAGTTGAAAACTGTTTGCCTCTTCCCATTAACAACACCTGAACAGAATCACACTTGACCCTAAACTCACCCGCTTCAGACACAGCTGGAGGCGGTGCACTATACCCCCACGTCCAGGAGGCGTGAGCCTGCTACAGATCGAGCCGGGTCTGTGGAAATGCGTTCACTCTGAAAGTAGAGTGAAGCCAAGACGGGCTGAGTAGAGCAGGGCTGCTGAAGTAGAGCCAGTGGAAAACGGGCAACAGTATGAAGAGAGCTCAGAGGGAGCTGTGAGAACATTTCAATTTAGGATAAAACCAAAGTGAAAAATTATTTTATGCCACTAGGTGAATACCTTGTTTGCTAATCAAATGTTTTACTTTTGGAACAATTTTTTGTTTAGTTAAATGTGCTTTATTATTTCTTAGGCTTCTATCTTCATTTAATATCCAGAGTTTTGTTTGTTCTAATGATTACAAATTAAATTCATAAGTTTTCTCATCTTAGTGAGATGCTGTTTATTTCAGGAATGCTTAACAGGAATGTACCAACGGGAATAGTAAACAAAGTTTGTTTTTTCAAATCATCTCTGATGTATAGACGGCCTTTTTAACCAGTTTTTCTGGTGTCCAGCCCAGCAAATCCCAGTCCAGTCCATTTGGTATCGGTTCTGGCCACAACTACCAGACTGACCCCGCCTCCTACAGTCCTCTATCGTCCCCGGCAACATCCTCGCCCAGTGGAAACGCTTACTCAGGCCTGACAAACCGCAGCACAGCCTTTGGTAAGCCTTGCTCTCCAGTCACCATGTCAGTGGAGGTTACTGCTGTTTTTGGCACATCTGACAATGTAAATGTAATCTGACTAAATAAGGTTAGAAGCGAGGTAATAAACATCTCGTATGTTTCAATATAGAAACATACTCGAAACAAACATATAGAATCATTTCTCCCTTTGGGGAGAAATGGTGGCACCTGTGACGTGGCCGTCACAGGTTCACGTCCCAGCCTGGTGGCCTTGCCAGGCTGGGCGTGCCTTCCTTCTTTTTTTCTCACTATCCATTTTCTATCTGACACTCAATAAAACCTTTTAAAAAAAAGAAACTTATCCTTTGTGTTTTATACTTAAAAAGATTTAAGATCTGACATCGATTGATTTCTTTGTTACATTTACCACAATTCGTCTTTATTAGTGTCACATCAAAGCAAAATAAAAATATACTGGAAACTGTAAAGGGCCAGTAATGGCAAAACGAAGGGTGGATAGAAAGAGGTTTGGGAGCATGACTTATTTTTCTTGTTTGCTAGGACAGGTTATATCCACACACCCTCACACTGAAATATGTTAAGATCCAAATTATTAATGACTAACAGTAGCACTTTAGCTAACTGTAGTCAGCATGTACAAAGCAACATTTCGTTGCTTTGAACATGCGACAGTGCAATGACAATAAAGTTGAATTCTATTCTATTATCTTGGCAAAGAGTTTATTGAAAACTGGAACTATGTGTGTCTGGTCAGATGCTCTTTCTGAAGTGAAAGCAGATCAATCTTCTCTTGTTTCAGCTCATTAGAATTACCACAATTATTTCTTATTTGTCATAGACTTTTTTACTCATAAATAAAAGTCAGTCAGAAGTTTTATCCATTTCTTCTGGAGCAATGCCTTTTGGTTTCTTTCCCAAAAGAAATGTATTTATTAATGCTCTGTGACATTAATAAATACATATCTGACATAATCTTTGTCTGACAATCAGAAAGGAAGATGCTAAAGAATTTCTAAATACTAAGTAGAATATTACAAAAATAAGTTGTGATCTAAGAAATTTGTCAATGTTTCCAGATGTGTCAGGAGAAGGTGGTCAAAGTGGAGGCCAGTTCCAGGGTCGGCCCAGTGAGGTCTGGTCCCAGTGGCAGAACCAGCATCATTCCCAGCAGTCGGGGGAGCAGCACTCACACACCAACCCCAGCCAGACAGAGGTCTTCCAGGTACAGCCCAAACTACTCACGAGTTGGCTCCTGTTTACAGACATGTGACCTTTGACCCCATGTCTCTACAGGACATGCTGCCTATGGCTGGAGATCCCAGCCAGGGGACAGCGAACTACAACATTGAGGATTTTGCGGATCTCGGCATGTTTCCACCCTTCTCTGAGTAAAGGCCTCTCTACGGCCGACCGATGGACTTATGTTTGCTTCCTCTGTTTCATCTAATTTTTTTTTTTTTTTTTTATAAGAGCAGCACTGGGCCACCTTAGAAAAATTAATGACATCATCTTGAAAAGACATTCATTACTGTCATTATTTCAGGAGCAAAATAATGCTCCTTATATAAGGCCTGAAGAATGAACTGGTTGAAGGATGCCCTCACACACTCGGGTTTCTGCTGAATGGAGAGTCTTAGTTAGTCAAACCTTTCTCAGCTTGTGATTGAACGTTGATGTCCTCTATGGTCAGCATTATGAAGGCATGCCTTCCAGCTAGAACAGTCAGATCTGTCAGAGCTCATCACCATCATTAAGACTGAATGAAGGAGAACTTACTTTCAGTTTTCTTAAAGAACAATAGGAATATGAAAAACTGTGTTACCTTAAATGTCCAACTCTTCCTACATGCTAGAATTTTTACTTTCAAATTGTTAATCTAATCTAAAACATTTTTTTTATATATATATAGCACCGATCAATTGACATCTAATACCCAAGTAATTAGTATGTTTTTTGGGTATTAGATCCTGTTCCTGTTTATTGATTGTATCTATAATAAAACCTCTTCTATTTAGATTGTTTTAGTCAGTAAAAATTTTATAAAGGTAACAATAGATTCTTTGAAGCAAAAATATGAATAATGTTGCAATTCTGTTGAATTCCAAACTTCTACCTCCACCAAGGAACCCGCAGAACATTTTTTCAGTTATGGTCAGTAAAAAGTTTTCTTCAGCTATTTAATTTTTGAATTAAATAAAGTTCACCTGAAGGAAGTCGTATCTTTATAGGCGAAAACGCAGAACAGATCTGCGATTTTTGTCAATTGTAATTGACAAAAAGCAGGTAGCGTAGCCTTCCATAAGAAACAAACTTAGTGCACCAAAAGGAATTTACTATATCACATTATGTTCACTATGTAAATATTTTATAAATTGTTGAAATCCATTTGAATTCCTTTTATATCTTCACTTTAATTAGACTTCTGACAAGTAGCAGATCTCATGAGGAAGGAATCAGTGTTCAAGACGGTTTTGCCGTTCTCTTTATAGTGACGACATTGTGGGTCTTATGTATAATTTTCAACTTCAAAAATGAATCATTCCTCATCCATTTTGAAATACTGTACTACAAGTTGTACTACAATACATCAATAAAGGAACTAGCAATGCAGCGCAGAAGGAAAGCAGCAACATAGTTTTTGCCTTTATGTTTTACTGATTAGGGGAGGAATAGCATTGAACAGATCGCTGGCTAGAGCGTGGACCAGTCACAGCCTCTGGGTTGGTGTAGGGAAAATAATGAGCATGTTTTGATACACGTCAGACGGCCCAGCTGTCAATTGCATTATAAAGGCTTTAAAAGTAAATTAAAATCTGCCAAGACAATAATCAGCAGGCAAAACTTTAAAGACCACTGGATCTTGGGCTGGTAAATCCTGATTGGTGCATCTCAATTTGGCTGGTCAATTTTCAGACTGACCAGCCAATCTGCAAATTGACTGTTCAGGTGGCAACAAGCAATAATCAGTAATAAACTATAATCTTTGTCATGTAATAAAATTACATAGACTATGACGAAAGTGGGTGATAAATAGTGATAAATCTTCAGTCCAAGGACAAATGGACTGAAGAATGTATCACATTCTTCAGTCCATTTGTCCTTGCTTTAATGCTCCCGCAGCAGGTGGAACAAACCTTGTCGTCTTCTAATTCATCTCAAAGTTTTCTTCTCCTTTCACAGGTGAAAGTGACTTTTGGTATAAATGACTGAACTGGTAAAGTCCAGTCACAATTATTTTCTCAATGTATATTATCCATACTTGAAGCCCTTTAAGTTGGAAAATGAAAAAAAATAAAATAAAAAAAAGACGTTTTAGGATCACTGGCTGCAGAGAGAAGACAATCCATTTCCCTCTCTCTCCATAGTGATGTCCTGATTTTTAGAAAACACTTCATGCATCAATAACAGGATTAAATGCATTTTAAAATGAATAAATTTTAGTATACCATTGCTGAGTTACTACTTAAAGTGCACTTCATGACGCTACCTGTTCATCATACCAGCCTGCTGCCCAGCAGTGAGCAGTATGTCTGTCTTCAGACATACTGCTGAAGACAGTATGTCTTCAGCAGCTGTCTACTGCTGAAGACAGTATGTCTTCAGCAGTATGTCAATTATATATTCATCAACCAAAAGGCTGAATAACAGCTTGCAGTGAAGTAACATTTACATGATGAACTGCGTGTCCATGACAAATGGAATAAACTTTCAACATCTTTTGCTAAGGATCTAAAATTTTTTTTTTTTCAATATTGTGATTTTTATGTCAACTCATCTTACATTCACAGAGTACATTCTTGTGTAAGTCTTAATGATACTGTGTATAATGTGTCTATTTAACTATTAGTACGTGTTGGTTAGCTAGTAAACTGTACATTGACTTCTAGACCTGTTTAAACTGTGTAAATGTGGCCCATTATTTTGTGTAAAACTGTGCTTGTGACAATAAATTTTTGATTTGGTGGCTTCCATTAAAGGTTTATTTAATTTTTTTTTTTTTTTACACAAAGACCTAACTTGTGGCAATTCTATTTGCACAAACAGACACTAATATTAGGTCAACATTTCCACAGCAAGTTACAATGAAGTTATTTAGTGGTCCAACTGAGGTTGTATCTCAAAAACATCTAAACACAGTCCATCCTCAGTCAGACATCTTCAGATTCCCTGTAATAGACAAGATTGTTCCTGCCAACAGCTGCCACCATTTTCAATAATTCTGAAGAATCTGAAGAAATGAGCTAAAGCAACATTTAATTTTCCTTTGGGATTAATGAAGTATTTTGCAATTTGAGTAATTATGATAGCCTTAAAACTAATAATAAAATTCTAACTAATTTTAGCTTTTACATGAGGTTTTTAACTGTGTAGCATGTTTTTGGTAGCACACATAATACTGCTGGCAAAGGCATTTAAGTTACTCTTAGCTTTTTAGCTAATTTTAGCTTTTCCATTTGTTTTTTCACATTGCATAAAATATGTCACATGTGCCAACATGCTAGTGCTAGACTAGATGCTATCATTACTATTTTAACTAGTTTTACCTTTTTATCTAATTTTAAGATAAATTGTTGTGACCCAACAGTTTAGCTTTCAGTATTTCTAGTTTGGTTGGGAATTTTGTATTGTCCACAAGTTCTTGCTCTTCTTCAACAGTTTTTCTGTGGTAATTATCCTGTTTAGGTACTTTGCAGTTTCATGCTTTGTTCTTTTGCTTCTGCCTATTCTTACATTTTTGCAGTTGACTTCAAATGCTTTTGCAATTTTCAACAGAACTGTATTTTCACAGGAAATTTTAATTGTTGTAGTTGACAGCTAGATGTCAATGTACTTCTATGTTTGCCATGAGCAAAGTGCGCATCATCAAGCGGCATTCATACCCCACCTTGGCTGTTTGATGACCTCAGTTGAATTAGTTAAGGGTTTAGCTAAGGGTTAACTAAAAAAAATGACTTTCACCAAAGTAATCACCATGAAGTGTATCAAGAAAAAAACAAAACACCTTTAGTTGACCTTGCAAATGGTTTTCCGCTTGGATCCGCTTCCTTTGATGTCTCCAACCGGCACTCAGAGTGTCTGTAATCAGAACTGTGACGATAATAATGTTTTATTAGGAGGAAATTATTATTTCTTATTGTTATGAAATCATAATAGCAAAAAAAATTTATATTTGAGTTAGAATGCTACAATATGGAAGATGGTGCTTAATTTGAAAATTCTGTACTTCACCAAACCTCCATTTCTAGATTTCTCAGGTAGTTTTCATCACATTCTAGACATCCAATCAAAACCATCTCCACATTATTATTATTATTATTATTATCTGCAAGACCCAGAAGGAACTTAATGCTGAACACTTAAGTCTAATTAGCTACATTAGGATTGGATTAGTTTTAAAAAGGGTTTGAGGACCCAAAATGCTGTGAAATTGAGCTTTTTATTTTTGAGTTGATTGATTTAAAAAACAAAACAATAAATAAGTTGCACTGTGGAAAATGAATCTGCTGCATATAAAACAATATATGAAGCGACAAAATGTTATGTTTCAATTGTTGACTGTGTACTCAATGACTTTGTATTTTTATTATATATAAAGTACTTTCAACTGCCTAGTTGCTGAAATGTGCTATAGAAATATACTTGATTCCTTTGTTAGAAATTCAGATTATTATCCTTTACATTTACATTTTTAGAATCTTGCTTTTTATTTTTCCAAATGCATCTAAAAATAACAAGGATCAAATTCTGGACGATTGAAGACTATAGGAGCCTGAATGACAGGCTCTTCGGGTGAAAATGGCCCAGAGTTCAGAGATCCACTTGGTTTCTAACATCTTAACTTACTCCTGACTCTCAAAAAGGAATGATTAGCACTCCAAGTAACAGTCCAGATAGATGACTACAAGCATCCTGAGTGACTCTGATCCCAGGAACACCCTGTGTCCAGCCTCTGTTCTGGCTGAGAGGATGCTCAAAACTGTACGTTAAGCTGCCTTTACACTCTCCTCATAGGTATTCATTCAGATGGATGTCTACACTCTTCACTGCCAGTGGTTTGATTAAACAGTCTGAGTTCTGCACAAGCTGTCTGTGAAGAGTACATGCCCTGTTGCATGCTTGTCATGTGTGCAGTTCCTTTATCATCCAGTAGGGGCAAAGAGATGACAGAGCTGGGCGCCTTTAGAGGTCTATAGTTCCTTTCACTTTGAACTTCTTGGCAGAACGTTCACTGGCTCGGAACTCCATTTTGTTTCCATAGAAGTGTGAAACAAAGCTGTCCATTTCTACAGAAAACACACTGTTCCTCTTTGGGATCACTGGACACAGGAGACAAGAAAACAAGCAGATGTTGAGTCTCCCATACAAACTGAGGGACAGTTCACAGCAACTGTATCTCGGTGAATACATGAAATCTTCTACAGCCATCACAAAAAAATAAAAAATAAAAAAAAAATAACAATAGCCAACATGTGAGCAAAGCATCATAAGCAAGCCAAGTCATAAAAACCAAAGATACATGTAGTACCTTTTATCTCTTCGTCTCAAACACAGAATCAATGACATTCATGTTGGTTAAATACAAACACAAGCATCATATTTGAAAAGATATGTATCAGAGTTAGGATTACAAATCCAAGTGGTCCAGGTTGCATTTGTAAAAAAAAAAAAAAAAAAAAGCAGTACAGCCCTTACATTTATAAAAGATATATTTAAGTATATCTTTTCATGGGACAACACTGATAAAATGACACTTTGACACAATGAAAAGTAATCTGTGCAGCTTATATAACGGAGTAAATTTATTCTTCCCTCAAATTAATTCCATATACATCCGTTAATGTCTAAACCACCAGAAACAAAAGTGAGTACACCCTTGGTGAAGGTTCCTGAAGTGTCACTATTTTGATGGCCACTATTATTTTCGAAAACTGCCTTAACTCTCCTGGGCATGGAGTCGCCAGAGCTTCACAGGATGCCACTGGAATGATTTTCTACTCATCCATGATGACATTACGAAGCTGGCAGATATTTGACACTCTGTGGTCCTTTGGATGCCCTAAGGATGTTCTATTGGGTTAAGTCTGAAGACAAGCTAGTTATTCACCTCTACCCTCAGCCTCTTCAGTAAAGCGGTGATCATCTTAAAAATGTGTTTGGGATCATTATTATGCTGGAAAGCTGTCCTGTGATGCAGCTTTGTGAGGGAGGGGACCAGGCTCTCCTTCAGTATTTCACGGTAGATTGGAGTTTATAAAATGTAACTTCATAACATCTGCTGCACTCCTGCAGCCCCAGACCATGCTGATCTCACCACTGTGCTTGACTATAGGCATCACAGACTTAACTTTGTACTCCTCACCTGATTGCCGCCACACATGTTGGAGACCATCTGGGCCAAACAAATTAATCTCGCTCTCATCAAACCATGGGACAGGGTTCCAGGAATTCATGTCCTTTGTTGACATGTCTTTCAGCAAACTGTTTCCAGGCTTTCATGTGTACAGACTTCAGAAGAGACTTCCTTCTGGGGTGTCAGCCATACAGACTCCTGCACCCCAGCATCTTTCAAACAGAATTTGTATGTGATGCTGAGCATGTGCACTGAGCTTCTTTGGATAACCAACACAAGATCTGTTCTGAGTGGACCCAGCTTAAAATGCTGGATGATCTTGACCACTGTGCCGCAAATCAGTTTCAGGGTGTTAGCAATCCTCCTGTAGCCTTGGCAATCTACATGTAACACACAAATTCATCTTTTAAGATTCTCGGAGAATTCTTTGACATAAGGTGCCATATGGAACTTTCAGTGTCCAGTATGAGAGATTGTGACTAAAAATTGGACACACCTGCTCCCTATGCACACCTAAGATGTAGTCACATGACATTTTGGAGGGAAATGACAAGCAGTCCTCAATTTGGACCCTGAGGAGTGTAGTCTCTTATGAGTGTACTCACTTTTGTTTCTGGTGGTTTAGACATTAATGGGTGCATGTAGAATTATTTTGAGGGAAGAATAAATTTACACCGTTACATAAGCTGCACAGACTACTTTTCATTCTGGCAAAGTGTCATTTTGTCAGTGTTGTCCCATGAACAGATATACTTAAATATCTTCAGAGATGTCAGGGGTGTACTCACTTTTGTGATAAACTGTAGATCTGAGCTGTTCAGATTGTTATAAAGAGATCAGATACATTTTGCATAAGTACAAAAAAACAAACAAACAAAAAAATCACATTCGAGTCTCTTCAGGCTGAGTATGAGCCATAGACTAAGTTTCATCAGTTGATAGTGAGAAGCAGCTAAGTCCAGCAATCAGGTACAAACACACAGAACCAAGGAAAGTTTCACTGACCTTTGACCTGGTCTTCTTTGGTGATTATTTTGAACACATGTTTGAATTCTTGGATGAGAATCCCTGTAGTTCCCACATAGGATGGACATTTGGAGCGCACCACTGTGACAGAAAGCAGCATGTTACAGTATGCAGGTCACAAGTTGACACCAGTATTCTGTTGCATCACTGCAGCAGCTAACTGCATTCAGTTAAAATTTCTAAGATTGTGACACACATTTTCCTGCTAATGAATCAAAAGGTGGCAACAAATGTCAGAGGAAATATAAACAGAAAATTCACAAATTTAGAGGAAAATGTTCTGATTCCTTCCAGACTTTATGACTGAAGGTAAAATGTTTCTTTTTCCCACCAACAATGCAGCCTGAATGGATCAACGGTGAGTGAGGGTCAGGCTCTTTATTGGGAAATCTACCTGTGATGACGGCTCCATGCAAGTCTGCCTTCATAAGCTTTTGCTGCACATACTGTGGATTCCTGGAAGAAAACATGTAGACAATCACCAGGAGAAGCAGGAAGTAGGACATCTGGGAGCTCTGCCTCCTGGTGGACTGACTTACACTGTCGGTTTGAGTCCACCACACAGGTCCACAACATATTGTCTCCATAGCTGGTGTAGCGGCAAGAAAAGCTCATACCTGCAAAGCCAAACAGAGCCATGATGGGGGAATTTCAGAAAAAAACACCTCCCTTTCCCCAACACACATCAAATCACCCCATCTAACCTCTGGTGTTGAGGCTTGATGTGGAAAACCTTCATCATTCGCTTCTGTCGCGCGTTGAGTCCTTTGGCTTTCTTCCTATTTTTGGTTCTAGTCGTATCTCTTCTGGGCCGACTGTAGCCCAGCAGCACGGCTTTATGAGTCAGCATGCTCTTCACATCCAGCCGGCTCGGCTGCTGAGTGCACTGCTTCAGATGGGCTTCAGTAAACTTTGCGGCTTTAGAGCTGTTGTGAGGCTACGAGACAGACAACACATCAATAAAGTGTGCGTACAGTGAGATACAAAAGTGTTTATTGCCCAAATAGAAACCAGATGATTGTTGCACACCTTATTGATTTTCAACAAAATTATGTACAACTTCCAATCAGAGAAAGTCAGCTCACCTCAACACCAAGATGCCTCACTAGATCTTGAGGAATTTTGCTGTAAACTTGTGCTTCTGTTGAAAGACACAAACAAACATCCCATTGGACAGAAACAAAAGTCATCTGTAGGGTTCAATGGTACTGCATGAGAACAACTATTGGAAGATTAAACATCAGAAAAAGACCCAGCATAATCAAACCATGAGCTTGACATGAGAATAATCATCGTTTATCACATTCCTGAATTTGGCTTTTCTAATTTAAAACTTCAAAGAAGTCGGTATGTAGTGCACATACCGACTTCAGGCAATCAGACTGACTGCTGGGGGTTGGGACTCTGCCTCTAGAACCATTGCTTTTAATGGAAGTATTTCAAAGTATGATGGAAATCACATGAACGATGTTTCTGAGTGTTGGACTAATTGGCAAAAAAGCTGTACGACATATTCATCTGCAGTCATTGAGTCGGCTCTAATTCGTCACCAAATTATTAATTGATAAGAGTTTTTTTAATATCTTAATTTTTACAGAATATAGTAAACAATTGTGTTTTGAGAACAGAATTGTTCTCACAGAGAGAACAGTCAGAACAGAGAGAACACTGAGAACAGTGAGAACACTCAGAGAGAACAGTGAGAACAGAGTGCTGCTCCTAATTTTAAATTTTAAAATAGGATATTTTAAACCTTTAAACTGTTTGTGTACGCGCGTGTGTTTGTAATACCTCGTGGAGACAATTTTCCTGACACATATACCAATACCAGGCTGTGGGGACCCACTGCCTGGTCCCACAAGGGGAAACGCTGTTATGGATCAAGGGTTACATTTAGGACTAAGGTGTCAATTGTGTTTTGGTTAGGGTTAGGTTAAGGGTAATATTCAGACTGTAGAAATGAATGGAAGTCAATGGAAAGTCCCCAGAAAGATAGAACACACAAAAATCTGTGTGTCCTATCTTTAGACTCTAAAGGAGTCTAAAGGAGTCAATCTTTCAACATTTATCTCCCTCGGTCTTTAACTCACCTTCCATCGCAGCTTTTTAAGGTTGACTGCAGACTAGATTCTAGACCTAACCTACCATCGACTCCGTTAGCTTCCCGCATGAGGCGGAAGGAAGATATCAGACATACAAGCCACTGTTTTGCTTCTTCTTCGTCCTGGTTTTACTGACGGTTGGCAACAAACTTAGTAGCATTACCGCCACTTACTGGTATGGAGTGTGGTTCGTGATTATTTATTTATATCGTTTCCCTCCGGCTGAGCTTCAAAAACATTCATATTACATCCACATCCCAGTAAAATTAATAATTCAATACAATAATTTTGTGCTTAACTGCATGTTTGGACTTCTATTTTTTATTTTCTTGCAGAAAATAAAAAATGTTCTGTTAGAAAAGTAAGAGAGAGCGAGAGAGTTACAGGGGTGGGACAATGAAACTGAAACACCTCTCATTTTAGTGTGGGAGGTTTTATGGCTGAATTTGACTAGCCTGGTGACCATTCTTCATTAATTGCACATTGCACCAGTAAGAGCAGAATGTGAAGGTCCAATTAGCAGGGTAAGAGCACAGTTTTGCTCAAAATATTGAAATGCACACAACATTATGGGTGACATACCAGAGTTCAAAAGAGGACAAATTGTTGGTCCACATCTTGCATCTGTGACCAAGACAGCAAGCCTTTGTGATGTGTCAAGAGCCACGGTATCCAGGGTAATGTCAGCATACCACCAAGAAGGACAAACCACATCCAACAGGATTAACTGTGGATGCAAGAGGAAGCTGTCTGAAAGGGATATTCGGATGCTAACCCGGATTGTATTCAAAAAACATAAAACCACGGTGCCGAAATTATGGCAGAATTAAATGTGCACCTCAAGTCTCGTGTTTCCACCAAAACTGTCTGTCGGGAGCTCCACAGGGTAAATATACACGGCCGGGCTGCTATAGCCAAACCTTTGGTCACTCGTGCCAATGCCAAACGTCGGTTTCAATGGTGCAAGGAGCGAAAATTTTGGGCTGTGGACAATGTGAAACATGTATTGTTCTATGATGAGTCCACCTTTTCTGTTTTCCCCACATCCAGACTGTTGCATACCCTGAGTGAAGCATGGGGGTGGATCAGTGATGGTTTGTGCTGCCCCTGTGTGTGTGTGTGTGTGTGTGTGTCTCTATATACACACACACACACACATATATATATATATAAAGAAATTCCCTTCTCACCCACCGCGGGTGGTTCTTATCCTCTGAGCTCGGGTCCTCTACCAGAGGCCTGGGAGCTTGAGGGTCCTGCGCAGTATCTTGGCTGTGCCAAGGACTGCACATTTCTGGACTGAGATGTCTGATGTTGTTCCTGGGATCTGTTGTAGCCACTGCTCCAGTTTGGGGGTTACTGCCCCAAGGGCCCCGATGACCACAGGCACCACTGTGGTCTTCACCTTCCAGGCCCTCTCCAGTTCTTCCCGAGGCCCTGGTATTTCTCCAGTTTCTCGTGCTCTTTTTCCTGATGTTGCAATCACTTGTATTGCTACATCTACCACAACGGCTTTCCTCTGTTGTTTATCCACTACGACAATGTCTGGTTGGTTCGCCATTACCATCTCTCTGTCTGGATCTGGAAGTCCCACATGATCTTAGCTCTGGCGTTCTCCACCACCTTTGGGGGTGTTTCCACTTGATTGGGGTTTCCAGTCCATATTCTGCACAGATGTTTCTGTACACTATGCCTGCCACTTGGTTATGTCGTTCCATGTACGCTTTCCCTGCCAGTATCTTGCACCCTGCTGTTATGCTGGACTGTCTCAGGGGCCTCCTTGCACAACCTACACCTTGGGTGTCTGGTGTGGTAGATCTGGGCTCTATTGCTCTGGTGTTTAGGGCCTGTTCCTGGGCGGCCAGGATGAGGGCCTCTGTGCTGTCCTTGAGTCCAGCTTTTCCAGCCATTGGTAGGATTTACTGATATCAGCCTTGGGTATTTGCTGGTGGTACATCCCATGTAGGGGCTTGTCCTCCCATGATGGTATCTCTGGCACTTCAACCTCCGTTCCCTGTTGTCTGAGACATTCACTGAGCACATTGTCAGTTGAGACTTTGTCCCTGATGTATTTATGGAACTTAGTTGTTTCGTCCTGGACAGTGGTTCTCAAACTCACTAGTCCTCTGCCTCCTTCCTTGCGGTTCGTGTACAGTCTCAGGGTGCTGGATTTGGGATGGAACCCTCCATGCATGGTTAGTAGCTTTCTAGTCTTAATATCTGTGGCTTTTATTTCCTCCTTTGGCCAGCTAATTATACCAGCAGGGTATCTGATTACTGCAGGGCATAGCTGTTTATCGCACTGATTCTTGCCATTGAGCTGGCTTCTCAGGACTTGCCTTATTGGTTGGAGGTATTTAGCTGTGGCTCCTTTCTTTGTGGCCACATCGAGGTTGCCATTTGCTTGTGGTATACCTAGGTACTTGTAACTGTCCTCTATGTGCTATTGTTCCTTGTGGGAGTGAGACTCTTTCTGTGCGGATCACTCCCCTCTTTGTGATCACCGACCACTTCTCTAGTCCGAATGACACAACCATATATATATATATATATATATATATATATATATAATATATATATATATAGATATATATATTATATATATATATATATACACACTAAATGCTACTCACATTTGAGTGTGTACCTTTGTATATATATATATATATATATATATATATACTTCCATTATCTTACAAATTTGTACATTTAGATCATTTATATCCATTCTAATGTCTACTTTTCCTAAGTTCATTTGACTCAAACATCTAAATTTAATCCAATCTGCCTTATTAAAATCAACATTTTATTATTGAGCTTGATATTCTTATTTAAAGTTAATCCTTCTATTATTGTAACGTGATAATTATTACTACCTATTGTTGACTTTATTAATGAACCACTCAGAAATGCCAGAAAAAACATTTGAGATGAATAACTGATTCCATCTTTTCTTGCATTGATTCTTGTTTCCCTCAAATAAATTCTAATAACTGATACCAGTTAACAATTTATGATCAACTATGAATAAAACTATTCATAGTTTTAATTAATAGAAGTAATGGAAATTTTAAGCCCTTTAGAAAAAATTAAGAAAACACAAATAAGTTCAAGTTTTATTTATTTTTTTTTTTTTTGCTTTAGTCACACTTAAAAAATATTCTCATATATTTCCAATAAAACAATTGTTTTGTAAATACCAAAATAATTCCACAAGGAATAAACTTTGTTTTTTTATACAAGTTGAGTAAAATGGTTCTTGTAGATATCAGATTTTCAGATGAAGTTTATCAGTGATATATGAAAGGGGTCGTTCCGTATGGGGTCCAGACCTCAGCAGGATCAATGAACCCTGCTTCAAACAAATTTCCTCCTTGAATGCCCAAAGTGGGACAACATATAGTTTCTCCAGAAATAATAACTCTCACACAAACACACATACATTAATTATCACACACAGATTGAGAATATGGGATTTCCATTTTAGCCCAGGTTAAATGTGCATTAGATAGAAAGTTAGATCTGTTTGACATGTCGCAGAGTTGAGCCGTGTTCCGAAAGGAAACATTAGCACTTGGCAAAGCAATGCCTGACAAATCAACCCGTTTTGGACATATGAGATTAGACAACAGTAGGCAGACTGATGGATGACCTGATGGATGGGCAGGTAGACAGTCACATAGAAACTTTTAGAATTTTTCCTTAGGGAAATTGTAATTTCCATCTCTTATAGAGCACCCATACATCAAAAACTTAAATTAATGTTGTTGTTTTATTAAATACATAAACAACCCTATCCTATAGTTCCACTGTTTTTGTTGTACTCTTGTTAGCCTTCCTTCTGATGTCCAGTGAAGAGTTGAACGGTCTCATTGCACAAGAGACAAAGGACTTCCTCAGTCTATTGGTCCTGCACTTTAGAAGGAGTCTCCCACTGAACTTGCTTTCCTGGCTGCTGATGACAGAGTGAAGAAGAAATGGCTACTCACATTTAGTGTGTACCTTTGTATTTAATTTGTATTTCTTGTATTCTTTTGTATTTTGCGCACTGTGTGCCACTTTTCTGCCTGTAAGCTGCTGGTAACTTCAATTTCCTGAGGCAGTCTTCCCAAGGGATCAATAAAGTACGAGTCTAAGTCTAAGTCTAAGTCTAAGGTGGCTGGAATTGTCCATAACAGCCTGGAGTTTCTGCCATGTTCTCCTCTCTGCTACTGTTGCCAGAGAGTCCAGTCTCGTACCGACCACTGGGCCAGCCTACTTGATTTGTTTCTCCAGCCTGGAAAGGTCTGTCTTTGAGATGCTTCTACTCCAGCATACCACAGTATAACATAATACTGGCAACAGCAAACTGGTCAAACAACCCCAGCAGCTTATAGCAGATGTTAAAGGATCTTAGTAGTACATCTTGTGTTGCTTGTCCAGGCCAGCTTATCTGATAGTAGACAGCTTGAACACTGACAATGGTATTAGAATCTGACCTGACAGAAAGTTAAAAATGGCTTGCACAGCTAGTTTAGTTCAGGCATGTTGTACTGTGCAGAAGTTGAATATTTTGCACTTTGCAGAGTAATTTATGTCATGGTGACCACGGTGGGTTCAATCAGCACCAAGAACATTGGTGAATGCACTATACATCAGAGAACTGACTTTGTATTTAGTGCTGATTGGATATAGTCAAAGATCTAAGGAAATATGCCTTTCTGTTTTCTCGCCTGGCGGAGGAATTACTGCTTCTCAGTCTTAATGATCCTAGAGGCCATGGCTGCTCTGAACCTCCACCGCAACCCTATATCCTCCTCTGCTCTTTCAGCATTTTTGTCAAACGGCTCCAGTTTAATAATAATAAAAAAAGAGAGAAAATATGGCTTACTTTTCTGTAAATTACAGATTTGGTACAACAAATCTTTGTAGAGAGAAAAAACCTACACATTCAAAAGTTCTTTATGGCAACTCTTGAATTAACTCACTTAATGTTTTGAGTTTCAAAGTAAACCTCCAGTTGAATCCTTGTGCTTTGTTCTTCAAAAGGAAAAGTCTACTGTTGATTTACCGAACTTGAACACCTTCCTATTCCACCAGCAGCTTCAAGGCCTCAGTTCAGAGAGGACCTAATGTTCTAATGTTCCAATGTTCTAATGTTCGTGTCTCCATTCCAGGTGGAGGTGAGGGTGCTGGTTTAACTGGCAAGCTAATTCCTCTTCAGTTGGTTCTTGGATCTGTTCTCTGAGAAAATAAGCAAGAGGGATGAGTGATAATGTGGCACATATACCTGGAACTGTCAGAAACACGTGTTGACCTACTTGAACATGAACTGGACTGAAGTTTCATATCGGATTTTCTCCACATCTGTAACAGAGCAGCTGTGACTACGGTCCCACTTGTAGATGAAATTCTGTCAGATAAAATAGAATATCCATTAAATGTATATTCTCACACATCAGATTAAAGATCAAATTGTTGTAAAAGCCAATCTCAATTCTCTTTTCCTCTTTTAGAGTAATTTATGAATGAAAATGCAGATTTGGTCCTGTAGATTCATCTTTATCTGCAGTTATTGGTATGTTGATAACACTAAACCTGTCTGAGAAGCAATTTCTATAATAAAAGCTGATTTTCCTTACATAACATCACTCTCTACAATAGTTTTAATTTCATTAATCAAATCTTCTAAAGTACATCTAGATCAGTTCTTCCATCTCTTCTTTCTGTGCATATTTTGTCTTCTCAAAACCCCAGTTGGTCATGGCAGATGGCCACTCAGAGTGGGTCAGCTTCTGGTTCGGCTGGACGTTTCTTCCTGTTAAAGGGAAGTTTTCCTCTCCACTATTGCTGTGTGAGGGATTGATGCAGGCTTATCCAGGAGAAATTAATGCTGCAAATGATGCTGATGGTTCACCCTCAAACAGAAATTTATGTGGACTGTAGAAGTGCTTTTCAAAGCAATAATTGTCATGAAAGACAAAATAATAAATGACCTTATAGTAGAAACTGTTATCCTTCATTCTGGGAAATTTTGTGACAAAATTTCTAGACTCCCTGAAGGAAACTCCCAGGCTTTAAGACAGGCAACAGATTGACAGTATTCCAGAGTGTAAACATTCAAGTAAATTCATTGGAGGATCAAAGTCTGCAATTAATACAATAAATACATGAAAACAAAATGATATACGGTATCTCAGACTTCATAAGTTGATCTGGAGGGGATAAAGAGAACCCAGACACATGGCAACAGTTGTAAAGTTGCATCACAATGAAACAATGGAACAATGTCTGTTGGACACTTTAGACTTCATATCAGAGGTCTGGCCAGAATATACCACGGCATGTTCAACGTAAACCAAGAAAAGCATATCAGCACGTGAATGCTGATCTGCAAATTATTTCCAGCATCCTCAGCATTGTTTATTCAGACGGTGAAAAACCTTCAGAGTAGGGGCACACTCATAAATCTGCCTCGATTTTCTTAATTTTCGAATATAAGTGATTGGCTTCACATGTAAGTGTCAGCCAATCAAATCCACTGATCTTCTTCACCTGAGCAAAGGCTGAAAATCAGCCACTGTCCTCTTGGTCATCTGTGAGAGATGTTTGACTGACAGACCAGCTCACCAGTCATGTCTACATGTGTGCAGTTAACAATAGCCACCCCAATTGTTGACGATCAACAACTGATCATGTTGTCAACGCAGTGATTTTATACTTAGCAATATTTCAATATTGGCCAAAATTGGCTTTTTAAAGATTGGTTTTCGGCAATCGTCCAGAAAATTGCAATCTGTTCAGCTCTACTTTCAGACTTCAGGCTTGTTTGGTGTTTTCTGCATACACTCTGTGTGTCAGTGTCCTATCAACAAACTGACCTCCAGAATGAGAGCCACAAACAGGTTGACCCACATCACAGAGGAAGTGAGCCACCAGCACACAAAGTACACCTTGGACCACCTGGAGGGGAAAGAAACCACCATCATCACCATCACCATCATCATCATCATAGAGCCCTTCTGAAAATTAAGAACTGTGGTATGCTTCCTTACTCTGATGTGTATCTGCTGTATGCTTCCATGAAGGCCTGCCAGTTGTTGACAATCATGACATCATAGAGCAGAATAATGGCTGCCTGAGCAACAACACAGCATACCATCATTCAGCTAGCTTCAGTACAGAAACACATTTAAAGCTAATGTTGCTCAGACTTTAAGCCATCTAAAAACAAAACATTAACATTAAAATCTATCTGTCTTAGTGAGCACAGTTATACTACACTGTATTGCAATAATACAGGGGATGAATCCCAATGACTGACATCCGGGTGTTTTGTTACTCACAGCGAAATCATCAAAGTTGTTGGGCCAGTATCCCAGCTGTTCATAAGTACCACATGCCGTGCTGAAGTTAGATGTGGTGTTGTGAATGGAGAAGACACTGGAACACACACACACACACACACAGTATCAGAATGTGCAGGTGAACCAATGTTAATTTAATTAACAATGATAACTAAATTATTTCATTGACGAGCTGTTTGTCATGACGATGACAAATATTACATTGCTCTCTGATGACGAAGACATGACAGTTTATCTGCAAGTTTTTGTTGATGAGATGAAAACTAGACGAAAATGTTATTGGGCGGTTTTCTTCTTCTTGCTGATTTTTATTGGCAGTTGGCAAAAACTGTTTAGTAGCATTACTAAACAGTTTTTGGTCTGTCAGACATTCAAAATGTGGATGGCACATTTCTGCCTATTGTCAGTCAAAAGTTAAAAGAATCAGTAATGTTTCTCCACTGGAAGGTGTATGAGGTGAGATTCCTCGGTGGTGGTCGACAGGTGAAATGTCATCAACAGGAGCAAAATTATCAAAAGAAGGATTTCCATTATAGAAGAAGATTGAACGAAAAGGAACTGGTGGTTTGGCATAAACTGGTTTGTGACTGGACTGGAGTGACAGCTGAGGTAGAGGACGATAATGATGATATTGATTTCATTGATAGCTTAAAAGTAGGGCAGCACTGGTAATTATCAGACTTTTAGTCACCTGACAGTTCAGTCAAACTGTTGTCAGACTTAGGGCTTCATAAATATGTGCAGGACCATATTTTACGCACAAGTCGGCATGTATAAAAATGAGCTTTGTCGAAATATATGAACTTTTTCTGTGAACAAAATCAAACTACAAAGCATCAAAACTCACCTAAATAGACTGAAATCTGACTATGGTACATTCAGTTATTTTGACCAAGAAGCATCAAACCCAATGTTTTTTTTTTCATGATTTACAAAATTTTATTGTTTTACACATAAATGATGAAACTCAACCACATTTATCCTCAGACACACACACAAAATAGAATGATGTGAAAACCTCTCTCCAATGTAAATAGTACTTTTCCTCAGTTTTTGTCTCATAAAATGTAATGCATTGGTCTGTGCACCGAAAACGCATAAAATGCATCTATGGGGTAATTTTATTCTCACTAAAAACAAAGAAAATATGGTTGGATCAGCAGATTAATTCCATGTAAACATCCATACAGATCAGCCTCCTTTCCAGTTTTAGTGAAAGGAGACACGCACGATCCGCACTGAGGTAAACTTAAAGATCAAGCATGCTGTGTGATTGGTTCACTCACCTGGCTTTAAATGCATAAACTATAAACTTATCTTTTAGGAATAAAATAAATTTGCCCTGGTAAAGCATGGTGGCTGCCAGACTTATAATACACTAGGGGAAACCTTCCATCCACTTATTACAACTGGTTTATTCTGACCAAACTAAATCTACAAACAGTAAAACTGCACATCAAATCCTGAATGTTTTACCTGTCATTCAAATATAAATAGATATATTGTTTCAAGGTGTGCAGAACTAACCCCTAAAGTGTTTCAGCACACTTCATGAGCCATTTTTTGCATTTTTCCTGTTTGTGTTTTATTGCGTTAGACTTCATACCTCATCTGTGGAGGAGGTTTAATGGCACCCTCAAACAGCCAGATCCCAAATACAGCAAACACGTAGTACACTACCTGCATGATGACATGTTCCAATTCAGGTCAGTTTACAGGAATATTATTTTAATTTATGGATGAGCTGGAAAGAAACATGCAGCTCTCATATAGAACAACCCTTCATTAAGCTCAGGTGGATGAATGAAGGCGGCTTACCACTAGGATCCCAGCAAATGCTCTGAGATTTTTCACCAGATCCAGCAGAGTGCTGGCAACCAGAGCCATGAGCTGCAGACCAAAAGGAAAAGATGTGAAGATGAATTTGGGGCTTCCACGTTATACATGAGTGCTAATATGGCTTTTATGACATCCCATTACTTCTGTGTTTTCACACACACACACACACACACACACACACACACACACACACACACACACACACACACACACACACACACACACACAACACACACACACACACACACACACACACACACACACACACAAAAGCACACAAACGCACACACAAACACACACAGAGACAACAGTTAGCCTTAATTTGCACATTCAATTTTAGACCTTGGCAGTGTGCAAAAATATTGAGTTTTCTCCTAAGGGCCTGATCTCTAAAAGATTTGTGCAAAAAGAAGAGCAAACTTGATAGAGCACCCAAATCTAATCTACAAACAACACGCAAACAGCATCGCGTCAGCAAAATGAGGAGAATAGCAGGTGTCTGTGTTTTGAGTGTCTTCATTTATGCAGGCACTCAAAATCTATTGCCCCTGCTATTCTCATAAACTTATGAATATGCAAAACAAATACTGATAATCAGGGCGGGCAGATGGACTGGTACGCTAAGCTGTCTGCAGTTACTACTGCAAGAAGGAGGCATCGATACAATGAAAATTACCCATATTGCTTTTGAAATATTTGGGACATATAATGAATATAAAATATAAATAATAAAATACAGATTTAAAATATCCTACTGCAATGTCAGTTTTAAGCCAAATAATTCCAGCATAATGTTATGTTTTGTTGGTTTGCTGGAGTGCATCTATAAAGCCCAGAAAAGTTGATGTAGATTATATTTTTATGCTGCTTGTTCCACAAATTACGTGGGCAAAAGACATCTGGGCGGGACAGCTTAGTGCAGCCAGACTGCTGACAATAGTTCAAATGAAAATTTGTAGTTTATGCTTGTCAAAACATTCCATGTCAATCAGTTCCTGTACCATTCAGCCAGCCAGTATGTACCTTGATATCTGGGATGATGCGCAGGAACCGGAAGACAATCAGCATGTTAACCAGGCGAACCATCTCCCACAAAGACATCACACCACGAGACGAAGGCTCCCTACAGTTACATATAAAAACATAATGACACTTTAGAGGAAACATGGAATAGATGTCAACATTTCTAAATTCCACAGATGGTTGAAATTTCTACTAATTAATAAAAGTAAGTCTGCATTTTTTCTCAGTGCTTCCAGGTCATGTCGAATACCTGATCTGCAGATATGTCTTAGAACACAGACGTGTTGAATTGCAAATCACCATATTTTGGTCAGCTTTGCATAATTCTAATAAATGTTGAAACAGAAGCACACACACACACACACACACACACACACACACACACACACACACACACACACACACACACACACACACACACGTAACACACACACACACCCACACACACACGCACACCCACACACACACACAGATTTTATGCATAGAACAGACATGCCAACCTACTGGGAATAAGGGAGCCTGTATGTGATGAATATAGCAATCTGTAGGATCTGAAAGGGATAATTCAAACATGTGAGGTTAGTGGAGAATTTTAAAGTAAGAAACCAACATCAAGAATAAAGTGTAATATGTAAATTATCTTTCAAAAGCAATGCTAGCTTTCAGAGAAGTCATAATTTATTAGGTTTTACTTTCCTGTCAGCAGAAATACTCTTCTGGCCTCTGAGTTTGCTGATAGGTTTGATCTGAATGACATCATTCACAGGTTCTGAAGTTTTACTCAGAAACATGCTTCCATCTTTTTGTTACATAGATGCTGCCATATTTTATGTAAGGGTTTAATTCAAAAGGTAACAGTCAGATTTCCACAGAAACCTAATGGGAGTATTTTTGTACCCAAGGCCTACTCTAACCTGTCCAGCTAAGCATTGCCCTTTGCAAGAGGTTAACAGAGGCATAAAATAGAATAGGAGTCAGTTAGAAATGGATCTAGTGTTTTCACCAGTAACAGAACAGTGAGGAAGCCATCAAAAATGTTGCTTCTGTAGGACAGGTATCCTCTCCATCCAAAGGCAAATATCTTGACGCTCATTTCAGAAAGGTAGAAGAGGATGAAGCAGAGGTTGATAACCTGGCAGTGAGTTAAGAGAATGGTCAGTCAGTGGCAACTATTGTTTTAAGTTTAAAAATGTAATCCATTCATATCTCACTGAACATCAGTACTGGGCTAAGTTGTGGCAGGAACAAAACACTGGAGTGATTGTATATTTAGTTCTTCAGGGTACCAGGACACATTTTTACATATATATTCTTTATTTCTATTTCTGTTGATGCAAATGGCAGAACACTTGACAAAGCCATTGTTAAATGTCTTCACCTCTAAGACATCGTTGTCTCTCTCTTCAGTTGTCTTTTCAGAGTTCAGAACCAGGATAGCCTGAAACACAAAAGTGTTGCATCACTGGTTTATCTGCTGTGGTAGTGTATGTGCTGATGTGTGCAAGGTGTGCAGAACTTACACATATGCATAAGACATTGGCCAGTGCCACCAGGTTTCCTAGGACAGTGAGGTAGTAGTGACTGAAGACCACCTGAAGTTTTTGCAGCGTTGCAGATGTATACTGAGGTAAAGGAGGATGCTGCAGCAAAAAACATGCAAAATCCAAACAATAGTCTTAACACATCGTTGTCGGACTACTGTTTAGAATGTGTTTGTAGTTCTAGATCTACCTCCTTGATACAATCTTTATCCAGTTCATCAAATATCCTCCTGAACTGCTGTCGATCCATGTAGCCCTGTTCTACAAACTGCTGCGATGCCTGGTGTGCAGATAAGAGCATTAAGACATTCAACAGAACAGAGGGAGAAGCTCATGAAGTAACATTCTCACCAACATTTTCTGTCATAATCAGGTCAGCATGAAGTTTACAGGATGAGATCAGAAACAAAGAAGAACAGGTCTAGGCTTAAAGCTTTCCTTTTTGATGGAACATAGTTATAGTGACTTAGATTATCCTGAGCTACTTCTGTAGTTATGCTACAGACTGACCACTTTTTCTCACTTTTTTCTTCAAATTCCCAGTTTACATTATTTGTTGTTATTTAAATTGTTTTTCCCTCAGATGTTTTACTACACCTGGTCTGGCATTCAGTTTGGTTGTCAATTCTTCCTAGAGGAGGACGTTGGCTGGGATAATGTTGCCATCAACAAATTGTTCTCCCTCTCTCATTTTAGATGCATCATGAACATCTAACATAATCCTACATCAGTTCATCTGTTTCTTTTTTGTGTATCTGCTCTGTTTTCTCAAAACTCCAACTGGTCATGCCAGATGGCTGCTTATACAAGACTCTGTTGCTGGCAGTATGGGTAATTTTCAGCGTGTGTGTGTGTGCATGTGTGTGTGTGTATAAAGATAAATAGACATATGTTGGCTCTGACCGCTGTGATGGCTGATTTGTAGAAGTGCTTCATGTTGACTCTGGACATCACCTGAAGCACAGCACTGATTCGCACAAGTTCTCTGAGAGACAAAGAAATGTGAACATGGTGCGCAAAATCTGCTGACATCATCCTGTACCCCATGAGAAGAAATCCCATTTTTGAATTATTGGTTAGGTTTAGCAATAAGGTATGAATTGAGTTTAGTTTAGTAATGCTGAGACCTTAGAAATCAATGAAAAATAAATGGAAGTCAATTCAAAGTCCCTGCAAAGATAGAAAGACATATTATGTGTGTGTCTTACTGTGCTTCTGTCTGTGTTCTGTGACAGCTAAGGACATGGAAAGCAGCTCGGATCCCCAGCCGTCTCCTAATGATGGATGTCTGGACCGACATCTGGACAAAAAACATGAACAGTCAGTCGGCATGCTGAGTTTGCAGTGCTAATGATAAGTGGGTTGATTAGCTCAACTCAGACTTGTTTATGCTAAACTAAATACTAGAACCCATCCCCCCACTTGTAGGTGGAAGGAGTCAACCCTCTCATTCACCAGGGTGAAACCCAAAATGCAGGCACCAAGATGAGGGGCAACAAGTATGCCCACTCCTGTCCCAGACCTCTCACCAGGGGCAACTCCAGAGTGGAAGAGTGTCTCAAGGAGACAAGATCCAGAACCAGAACCTTGCGTTAAAGTGAGACTGACGATTTTTAGCCAGAACCTCTCTACCTCACACACTAGCACCGGCTCCTTCCCACACAGCAAGGTGAGGTTCCATGTCCCAAGAGCCAGCTTCTGTAGCCGAGAATCAGATCACCAAGAATCAGTGTGGGATGGACTACCACCCATCCCACACTGAGGATGGGTGGTAGTCCCCAGTAGTTCCCTGCCTGAACTAAAACATGCTGGTTTAGTTCAGGGAAACCACCATGTTTCCCTGAACTAATGCACCTGGACCCAATGATGGCTCATTAGAGGCCTAAGAAGAACATTTACATGCTGAAAATGTTACTACCACCAGGGAGAGAACTACAACATGTAGGATGCAGGCCCTAAAGGATTAACTTTGGACACCCCTGGTGTAATACTTACAGCACTTAGTTTTCCTGTTGCAATGCATCATGCATGCACTGACATACAGTACCTTCAGTCCCCTATGGAAACAGTATTGGTACAACAGCCACTATTTATGTAGTAAAAAGCTCATCTAAGCGCCAAAGGCAGGAGCTTAGCACAGGTGGAGGTAACCCATTTAAGAGGGAAGTCTTGTTGGTTGTAACTCTCTAAAGTCATGTGACCCACCATCCTGGTGTTTCGCATCATGTGTCAGCATAGAAATTATTGGCGTGACGCCAGGTGTAAACATTCCAGTATGAGGTCTTCTAGCTCTAAAACACACCTACTGATTCACAGATGCATCAAGACAGTCTCACCAGTAAATATCCCCTGAACTGGTTATAGATGATGGCGGTCAGCAAGTTCATCAGACAATATGTTCCTGCAGGAAGCAAAATGGATTCCTTGTGAAACTCAGCACTATGGGACAGTCATAATGTTCAGCAATCACTATTACTTGTAGCTAGTTGGTTGTTCATAGTGATCTTCACTGCTTACCAATGATACTGAAGGTGATAAAGAAAATGGCGTAGCATCTGTTGAGGGAATAGGCAGGGATCATGACTGTAAAAGAGAAAATGATTGGTCTGTGTGAAAGCAGTTAGTTAGTTAGTTACAAGATATGATTGGATGTGATTTCACTGTACCATCAGGATTGTTAGCTGTGGTGAGCAGCACAAGCAGAGAGGTTAGGGAGGTGGTCAGGTTCTTGAAATGTAACTCCCATTCACCATTCTTCTTTTGATCCTGGAGGAGAATAACACAGACAGAATAGCTGCACTGTTTGATCCACTTGTTATAATTATGATAAAACACTTGAGCTTTTATAAGAAGCTTTTAAATCAAGTAAGGCTAAGCTGAATTTTTTTTCACCTACCTAAAAAATAGTAGATATTCAGGGTTTTCTCCATATGAGGTTGCTCTGTGACATCACTATTAGACCATTCTGATTATGTCTTAATACTTTAGGTTAAATAACAAAGCAATTTTGATGAGCGTGGGCTGTATTGTCACTCTGTGACATGTCCAATCAGAATACTCCTGGTAACTACTGGAATCACTTAGATAAATAACAACCAATCACGACCAGCAAATCAAAATACAGCACCAAGCTGCAAGAATTACTAGACAAACTGTTCAGATTTAGGAACATTTAGGCTGGTTATTTATTACGATTTAACTGAAATGCAAAATAAATATATTATTTATTTTAATTTTATTTTATTGTGTTTACCCTAGTGTTGAAGTATTGCCAATAATGTCATTGGACATAATTGCACACAAACAGGTGTAACCACAAAGACATGAACTCACTGCATTTTTAGCAAACAGCAGCATGCCGATCATGGTGAAGAGGCAGAGATGCAGAGCAAGCAGCAGGATCACACTGCGGAAAAAGCAACAGTTCCAGGTTTAACAGAAGGGTTGTAGGATCCAGGGCTAGTCCTCTGACTTTTCACCAACAGAAACACTGCAACAACACGGCTCCAACAACACTGCATGTAATACATGACTCCATTTGAATTTGGACTGTAACTCCTGCTAGATACTGTACATACATTCAGTAATCCTGAGTGTGTGCTTGTACATACTGAGAACTGAACATTTTTTAGCCAACAAAGAGAAATCATTTTTGGATACTGAGGACATTTTTCTGATCCTTACGCTTTTCAACTGTACTAAGCTCAACCAGTTAGGCTTAGAGGTGTGAATTAATTTTTTAGTTAGGGTTAGTAAAATACTGGTAATATTTAGGAATACAGTAAGTGTTAGGGTTAGGTATAAATGCAATTATTAAAATGAAAGTCAATATAAAGTCAGATCAATAGACTATTGAAAAAACAGCTGTCCACTGTCTTTTTCAAACATCTATCATTGAACGTGATATTGGATAAGTATCAAGTAAAGCCTGGCAGCCTGGTATTGCACACAAACAGGTGTTCAATACAGGTGTTACTGGTGTACTTTTACACCAGTAACACACCTGGAATAGTGACAGGAAAATCTATTTAAGGTAGGAATATAGTTGACACACTGAACTTTGTCCCCAGTCCAGCTCATTAGTGCTCATTTAGTGCTGACGCAGCGTCACTTCTCACTCAAAATGTTTTTTTGGAAGGTGTTCTTGCAGAACAAGTTCATCTGTATTGGTATTTCCATGATCCCTTCATGAGGGCTGTGTTTTTGGAGAATACTGAACTAAGGTGCACGTCAAGTATAAAAGCCTCACTGTTGCTTAACTCATTCAAAACGGACCTCTAAAAGCGCAATAGGTGCATGCCTCCTTTGCACACAGTCCAGTGGACCAACTATAAACCTAGATTTAAGTCTGGGTTAGTTGCGTTGATAGAGGTTTACATTGATTGCAGAGAGACTAATCTGAGCACATATTTCTTTGTGAACAAATAATGATGTGTAGTGTGTATTTATCTCTCAAATGTTCACTCAATCCGTGTTCCGGCTTTGTTTCTGCACTTCCTTTGTAGTCTCACAGTGTGGAATTTCTATTGTAACAGCAGAAAAGTGACAGGCAATCAAAGCATGTGGAGTCACACATGTGTAAAAACAGAATTAAAAATAACAGTGTAGGCCAGATGGAACTTTTGAGCTATTGCTAGGCTTAAAAGGTATTGGTGACCTTTACTCATTGAATTCTGATATATCGTTGTGAGAGTTGCAGACCAAGTTCAAGCTCAATAAAAAACATTATTTAAAATTTCTTCAACTAAGAAACTTTGTGAAAGCAAATTGCAGTAAGTTTAATAAGCCTCCTCTTACATTGCTTGAAAAATTAATGATTAGAAATAAGTCAAGAAAAAGCTTTTTTTTCATACTTTTGTAATGTACTGATCTATAATACAACAGAGAATTCAAGTAATACACTTATGAACTGGAATCAACTATCAATGAGCAAAACTGGGAAAGGTCTAAAATCGACACAATGTCTACAGATAGCTGGACATTGGCCAATGCGCCTATATGTTACGCCTGCACATTTAAAAAAGTCTGATATCCCAAATTTTTTCAGAAAGTGTGATTCTAAGGGGACTTTTATACACTGCATGTGGAAATATAGACAAATCAATGCGTTTAGAAAGATATAACTGAAAAATATCTCTCAAAGCACATTTCACTGGATCCTAAATTGTTCCTACTAGCTTTATAACCTGAGAAGCGTAATTTTAGCAAATCAAAATTTTCTAAAATGATCTGAATCTGCAGCCGATCATCTGCAAAAAAAATTACAGCTTTGGCTTGGAAATTTTTATTTTTTTTCCTATGTTGGTTAATTTAACTTTAAAAAGAGAAAGAATAATTACTATCATCCAATAACTACAAAAGAAACTTGTTCAGACTGATGCAAGACTGTATTTTCGAAGTGGAAAATACAATCATTTGGTTAAAGAAATATTTTGGTGAAAAAAAAAAGTACAAAATGTGCATGTGTGCATTAAAAAACAACAGTCTATAACAAGTACATGTTAATGATTTACATTAACATGTACTTAATGTGCATTAAGTACCTGCCGTGATCTGTCAAACAGAGAGATCTTTTTCACCCTATCAGAATAACCCTTGTAATTATTGCATTCACTTACACCAGGGATGCCCAAACTTTTTGAGACTAAGATCTACATTTTCTCTCACCAGTTGGCTGATATCTACCTCATGACACAAGGACATAAAAATTGTAAATTAAACTCTATTGACACATTTTCTATACAAATATACATCAGTTATGTCAGAAATGATAAAGTGATAGAAAACCTAATGCAGTTTCTTCCTCAGTGAGATTCTGACACTGGGAGCAGGTTACTGGTTTCTCAGTCAGAAGCTGGTTGCAAACCTGAGGCCAGCAGCTGTCAGTCAGTTATTGTAGCTCTGAAATTTGATTTGATGACGTCAATATGAGAAACTACAGACTGATAGGAGGAACCAAAGAGCTCTGCAGAGGTAAAGGCAAATCTCCTGAATTTGGGATATAATTAATTTAATTTCACATAATTATTGTGGTGGAAGCCATTTGTTTGTTAAAACTTAATCAAATATATTTGTCCTATTTGATGTTTGTTATGACACGTTTACTGTAAATGAACGAGATAATTAGTCCAAGTTTGTCGTTTATTGATCGGTCAGAAACTAAAGCAGCTGTGATGAACCACGGCAATGGTCAACAAAGGTGAAACAACCTGAACAGGCGATCAACTCAAAACCACTCACACCTTTTTACTCTCTCTCTTTGTCGTTAAGCACACCTGTTGCCATGGCAATCTCCTGCGCCCCAAAAGCCGAGCAGAGATTACTTTAAAAACATTCAGTCAGTTATGATATCAGGTTTCCAGTCTTAATATTTATTTCTCCATTATTAATAAGCCTGTTATGAACACAGCTGTAGTTGATTAGCTAATTTAAACTCCTGATCTGCTAGTTAGTTGGTCTTTGAGTCGCCTCTTTGTTTTTGTTAATGGAACCAAAACGCACTGAATTGCTCAACACCTTGTTGAAATAATAATTACTGATTATTTATTTTAATACGTTTTGTTGATTTAAAAAAAAAAAAGGAGAAAAAGAAAAAAAAACTATTGTTCTGCATTAAATATATGATTTTACCCTCTTTAATACTTGATGTCCTTTAGGTTATCTGTTGAGTTTTGTGCATGTGATTCCTTTCTTAAGACTAAACAAAGGGGCTTGATAATGATTGTGGAGACAAGGCCATAGCTTATCTGTACCCTGGGTGCTGGATGAACCGCTCTCATCCAGCATAATTGCACACAATTAACAAGTTAATTGGGTGCTGGATGAACCGCTCTCATTCAGCACCCAGTTACAAACGTTTTGGAATATTTTTAGTGAATATTTTTGATTAGCCTGTCAGAAGAGGAAGTTCTGGTCTCAGCGTCCTGACGGTCTTCAGTTTGTCACCTGCTGCCGAGATCGACTCAAAACCTTCCTGAGATCGATCGACGTATTGAGCACCCCTGATTTAGATAAATAACAACCAATTACAACCAGCGAATCAAAATACTGCACCAAGCTGCAGACATTACTAAAGAAAATGTTCAGACTAAAGGACATTTGGCTGATTTAACTGAAGTGCAAAAAATATTTATATATTTTTATTTTATTTTATTGAGTTTGTCATTTTAAGACTCTATAACTGGTGTTTAAGTTTTGTCAATGACATTATTGTTATTACACATAATTATTGAGTCACATTATCAAATGTCGTTATGTTTTTTAACACAAAAAAACGGTGAGGTGCTGGTGGGCTGCCCTAGCACCCCACTGGGCTTTGCAAGTATTCTGGGGGAACCTTCCCACTCAATTCTTCACTAAAGACTAATCATATCATGAGAGTGTGGCCATATTTTTGGGGAAGCAGTTACCAATTGGTAAAACTACAAAGCCTCTAAATTTTAAGCTTTAGATCTGATAACCTTGCTTACACTTGAGTCCCCTAAAAATGTGTATCTACAAAGTAACATGATTTACCTACCTAGCAATCTCAGGTAGGGTTCTCTTGATGCATTTCAATGTCTTTTTCATCAGAGAGGAGTTCTGCAGAAGGAAAAATGGCCGGACAAGACGTCGTACTCTCAATTTCTGAATAATAAATAAAGAGAATAACAGTAAGAAATGTACATTTTATGCTAAGAAACCAGTCATTCAAACTCATAGGCCTTGTTTTAAATCATTTTGAAATAATTTTGATAGTGTGCAAAATGAGAGTATGTAATATCTCGATTTAAAAAAAAAACAGTCAGTGTTGTTGGCTAAAACCGTGTCTGGTTTCTCTGAAACTTGCTGATGGCCATCTAACCAAATGATTGTGGAGGTGAAAATCCGTGAGGTTGTATGTTACATAATCATTTTAACAAACTGTTAGTATCCCTTCCATTTCATGTTGTACATCACAGCAAACCTACTCTTCATTTAGGCATGAATATGTTACTGTTAAGAGTTCAGAGTAGAGTGCGAGTTTTACCTCATCACACTCCATGCTGACAGAGAGCACCCAATCAATGACAGAAACACAAATGACTACAGTGTAGCTGATCAGCCATTTACTCTTCCTGAATTCCTCCCAGCCAATCAGGTAGCTCTGACAAGAAGACAGGCAACATGAAACTTTAAACAAACAAATCAAAGAAAAGAATCAGGCATCAATGGCAAAGTGCATGTCAGAAACTTTGGGTTCTCATTTATTTTTTTTATTTTTTTATTTTTTTATTTTTTATTTTTTTTTAGATCTTCTCTTTACTTTGACAGCAAGATCCAGGCAGAAGATGAAGAGACAGAGCATCTCGATGCTCTCTGGGGCACCACAGGGAGGTTCCCATCGGCTGGATTGGTGACGGGGATCTGAAGAGATGGACAGGGAGGAAGGACGTTCTACAAATGCCAATAACAGCACAACTGCAATGATGGTGCCCAAGATCCTAGGAGAGGGACAAATGGGAAAATGTTGGTTGATGTAGCATTGGGCCATTGTTCCATTCATATTTTGGATATTAAATTGTTCATAGAGATGAAAAATGATACGATGATGATACATTTTGGTTATTTGGAAAATGTGAGGTAAGGTTAGGGTGTTTCTCGATGTCATCGACTCTGGTCATCGAAATTGGTGGATTGGATGAGGAGCAGGAACCATGCTCCTTATCCAGACACAATTTTCAGCTGAAATTTGTGACAGAGATGCTCGGAGATGCTTACAGAGCAGGGATGGGACATTCCCTGCTCTGTAAGCAAAGTGTCCCATCCTGCTTTCAGAGGATGTGGATCTGATGCCAACACTCCCAAAAAGTTGAGTTAAGCTTCGTTACTTCCCGCTCCAGCGGAGCGTGCACAATCTCTTCATTTTCATATATGATGGTATGAAACAGTGTTTGCCCCCTTCCTGAGTTCCTGCTTCTTCTTTTTTTTTTTTTTTTGCATGTTTGTCACACTTCAATGTTTCAGAACAATTTAAATATTAGTCAAAGCTGGTGAAAAGTACAAACTCACCACTGGCATATTCTTGAGTAGTACCATCGATAGAGACGAAGAGACCCGGCATCCACCCGGTGGTTGATGGAGCGGTACTGAACACAGGCAGACTTTATCAATACAGCAGAAATTTGGGAACAATTTTCTACTAAAAACTGCAACAAAGAAAAAAGCTGTTAAAATCAATCGGAGGAAGAAAAATGTCTGATACACAAACATCAAGCTTTGCTCTACAACAAATCAATATCAAAATCAATCTACTTTTAGCACTGGGCATAAGTGTTGAGCATTACAATAAAGCTCCTTATTTACGGAATGTGCCTCAAGCAGATATTTGAGCGCATGCTTCCTCCTCCATTGCTGATGATAGACTGGAAAGTGAATAAAGTGTGCTGTATGCCATATATAACAATAGAAAAGAAAAACTGTTTTTCCAATCCAAAAATGTTTCACTTTGTGCAACCTGACAAGCAAGCCCTTATAAATATAATACATCTACGTGAACTAGAGAGCAAAACAACATCAGTCTTTTTAAACATTTCAAATTAGAAAGAAATGAATAATCTTTGACTACACTCACATGGATGGCATCTTCAATAAAAACAACTGCCTGCTGGATGTACAGGTCCTCATCATCTGAGACGAACAAAAACAGCAGAACCATCAGAATTCAATCTGAGAAGCAGAAAACATGTAGACAGCTAACACTGGTCAGGAGCTTCTGTCGGTCAATGTAGCATGTTGAATTCAAGAATTTGCTTTTTGGAACAAGCTGGGAACATCAAAATAGATAAAACAGGAAGTAAAAAAGTATCTGAAGATGGAGATACTTTAGTCTTCATGTGAAACTGTGTATATTGTTTTTGCCCTTTATGTTGTCCTCCTGGGTCAGAGCGACTCTGTTTACCTGTGATTCTCCAAGATGAAGCCACTAAATAACTTTCACTTTTTATTTAAACATAGAAAGTTCTGATGAACAAATTTTTCTTTCATTTTCATGAGAGTTCTCTGCCTTCTGAAACCCCAGTTTGTCACAGCTCTGGACGTCAGATCTTTATTCCTTCCAAAGTGAGAATACAATCCCACTGTAGGATGCAGAGGAGCTCTTTTCTGCCAGTTGCATTAGACTGAAAAACAAAGTTTAGAACCGAAACTGTTTGGATGCTAAAAGTTACTTTTGAACCATAATAAATGGAACATTCACCAACATATTTGATGTGTATCAATAATTTTTATAATTACACTTGTCACATTGTAGTGTTGTCACTGGTTTATCAATTATTACCTGTATTGTGTCTTTTATGTCTTTTTAGTTTTGTGTTGTTATGATGTAAAGCACTTTGAAGTGTCTTGTTGCTGACATCTGCTATACAAATAAACTTGATTGACTAATGAATTGTGAAGTAGCTCAATTTTGTCAACTTGATAAGCCAGCTTCCAACTAAATGCAAGTTGAATGATAATGAGATAATAAATGGGGAATTAATAAAGATAACAATTGGATTGGAAGAGAATAATCTTTCTTTGAAGATTTTTTTTATTGGTTTTATCAAACTGTGAGTCAAAAAAGACTTAACACAAGTCAGAAGTTTCCCTCATTTGGGAGAATCTTGAATTCAAAGGCAGCATCAGGTTCTCCAGAAATAAACTTTCACTCAAAATCTGAGACAATTAGATTGTTGAACATCTTTGTTATTCCTCCCATTACAACTGCTGCCGTTTCTCCATTCTAACAAGAATGAAGTTGTTCCTGTGGAATGCACTGAGACCTGAGCCGTTGCAGTAGCTTCTTTTCCAGCCGGTAGCTGGAAAAGAAGCTACCAGCCTTAGCTTCTTTTCCAGCCGGTAGCTGGAAAAAAAAGCTAATGACTTTAATGAGCAAACCATTGATCACTTCACTGCTTTCAAAATTTTGCAGGCAAAATTTCAGGATAATTGGACTTAAATATATTTGAAATAAATAATGAATCTGAAGATCACTTCCATGAAATATGTAAAAGTTACTTTTGAATACCATGTTTTACTTTTAAGTAAACTCATCCTCTTTGTAATTTCAGTTTTTTTTTTACTTTTTATACTATTATTGCAGATCATAAAGGAACCATTATTGACTGAAAGCAAAACTTTTTTGTTTAGCAGACCGATGCCACTGTTAATCAGTTTTATTGTATTTTCTCCCTCAGTGGTAGCATCTTTCTGACACTGATCCTCTGCAGCTATAAGATTCTGGGCTTGAATATTGACCAGGGGTCTTTCTGCATGGAGTTACCATGTCCTCCTTGTGCATGTGCGGGTTCTCTCTGGATACTCTAGCTTCCTCCCCAAGTCCAAAAATATGACTGTTAGTTATGGGTTGTTTGGTCTCTCTAAATTGTTCTTAAGCGAGAGTGTGTGCCTGTACATTAAGCTCCAACTTAATGTACAGGGACACACATAAGGTGATCCATAGAAGGTCAACTTACACCTCCTTTAAGTCTTAAGGTGATCAGAACTGTGTCTCAACTATAATGATCTGAGAATCACAGCATGTGTTAAGCATTCCTCCTGCTTCAGTTTAACTTGACTTTAAAACTAACGTGCTTTGGTTTTAATAATACCCCTCTGGGGTTAATAAAGTAGTTTCATCTTGTACTCTGTTGTATTCAGGTGGAGTTTATTAAAGTTAAGAAACCTTAGAGAAGAAACTGCTGTTTGAAACAGAAACAACAATCAGCACACTTCAGTCCGATGTTTGTTTAGTGACTTCAATTGTTCCAGCTACATGAGTCAAAAATTCACCCGTGGTTTGCTGACTCACTGCGTCACAGCAGGGTGTATCAGGTTGGCCATGGGTGCCTCTGAAGGAGCAGCCAGTACCTGGGACAGACATATGCAGCAGAACGTCTCATTCTGCAGAAGTGACAAAGTCACATACAACCCCAGCAACACCATGAGCTTCAGCGACAAACCGGTGACAATACATCATTTTGTAATGGCAGCAATTTTATGAAATGCTATGGAGACTAGTCTTTGTTTCTTCATCTCATAATATTCACATTTCTTAATTGAACCTTTACAAAATAAACATATCAACTTTCTATATTTGTAAAGATTTAAAAGCAAAAATACGGAATGATAGAAAACATTCCTGCTGCTTGAATTTAGTTAGCCATAAGAATATTTATGGGTGGGATGTATCAGTATAGTAGCTCAGTGTGGAGGGGCTTCTCCCTGTGCCTGTTTCCTCACCAGGCATGAAACATGTATGATAGGTCAGGTTAAGTTAACTGGCAGTGCAGGTGGTTGATGCAGATGACCTTTAAAATGGGCTTAGACTGAGTCAGTCTCTGATGTCAGGCCGTTCTAAGGAACATCAAGCAAATAAACTTCTGAAAATCACAAATGTTAAATACAACACACAGTATCTGCCTTCCATACACCTTATTTCATATACATTGCATAGTGAGCTAAAACCTAACCATTTAGCTACATCAATTAAACTGAGAAAATGTCATGTTCTTCTTTCAGAAAATTAGCACAAAATATTTTCTAGACCAAGGAAAAAGAAAACAGTCAACTCAACATTTGGGGGATTGTATGTGTTTCTTCTGTTCAGGCTAAAAGGAACTTTTGGATCTGCAATGATTTACAGAAATTTGACAAAACTGCAAAAATCTATATTTGTTTTCTGAAAATAAGGTGTTTAATTTACTCCTGAGTGTGGAAAAAAGCATTTTAAAGAGGTAGTATATACTTTCTAGGCATAGAGAACTATAAAATACTAGTAACTATATTGCCAATAGTATTTGCTGAGCCATTCAAATGACAGGTGTAAAGAAACAGTCTGATAGGCATGCAGACTGTTTTTACAAATATTTATGAGAGAATGGCTTGCTCTCAAGAGCTCAGTGAATTCCAGCGTGGAACTGTGATAGGATGCCACCTGTGCAACAAACCCAGCCATGAAATTTCCACAGTCAACTGTCAGCTGTATTATAAGAAAATGGAAGTGTCTGGTAACGACATCAACTCAGCCATGAAACTGACAGCGTATGGTCACCAGATGCCCAAGTGGGCAAAAAGGTCGCCAACTTTCTGCAGAGCCAATCACTGCAGCACGCCTCCAGACTTCATGTGGCCTTCAGATTAGCTCAAGGACAGTGTAGAGTTTCATGGAATGGGTTTCCATGGTGGAGCAGCTGCATCCAACCCATACATCACCAAGTGTTAGATGCAGTGTTGGAAAGCATAGAAATGGTTGCCATTGGAGAAAAAAGGATTTCCTGACATGCATTAAAAAATGTAGGCCACACTCCAGGAACGTGTTTGACAAGGAAATAACATTAAAACACAATAAAGCTCAAACCAGTTGCACATAATACCCCACTTTTAGGTAATAAAAAATATATTTGATGTCTTCTAAGTTTTCCCTGATTGGTCGACATGTTGAAGGTGTTTTTCTGTTCTCTGGTCCAGATAGGCACCTATCTCACAACAACAAAGCAACTTATCGATCAATGGAGACCGACAAGTGACAGAGCAACACAGAAATGAATCCATCTTCCCTCATGTGGCCCCTCAATGCCTTCACCTGAGAATATGACGTCACACCAGGATGTACTAAGAGTCTATTCGAGGTCAGTGGAGTGAAAACATGAGAAGTCACATGTAATTTCATATCACTTCTGGAAACATGACATTGTCACTACAGTCAACTGCCGCTTCGATCTACTGTGACAACCTGCTGATACCAGGACAAAAACCACGAGACCCTGTCACCCTGTTGTCCATACCTCCGTCCAAACGGCAGTAGTCCTCAGCAGTAGAGGAGTAAGACATCCGCCTGCTGTCCCGCGAAACTCCGCCGCTTCTCACCGGGCCGGAGCCATGGGCCCCGCCGTGTTGGGCCCCAGCCCCGGTCAGCAGACGGTCTGTCTCCATGCAGGAGGTCTAGAACCAGTAAGGCAGACGTTCACAGCGGCCAGAGTGAAAGTTACGGGTCCAGGTCTGGACGAGTTCGCTTCTGGCTGGAGTTTTAGAAGTTGAGGAAGAACATGCGTGAGCAGACAGGAACCTGCTTTTAGGAAGTCTCTGTGCTGCTCCTCCCTGAACCGCCCCGACCTGAAGTTTGGGTAAAGCTTGGGCTCCACCTCCAGCAGCCCGGCTCGGCCGGTGTTATGCCGAGAAATGCATGCCTGCCGAGAATTGCATCCCCTGTCGCGGGAGAGCGCATCGCTCTAAACTCTCGCATATTGACGAGTAAACGGGCTGAAATCCGACCGAAGAGGAAACTTTTAAAAATATTAGTAACATTATCACGTTTATTAATCATGTAAGCGCTAAAATTGTGGGTTTTATTTCGCAAATTAATTGAAATAAACACTGATTTTTTTTACGTTTATTGAGCCATATTTGTCGAACGTTCTTCAGTGTCTGATGAACAAGTTCTCCGCAGCTGCTTTGAAATTCCAAGATTTTTCTTTTAACACCATAATAGCTTAAAGCTTTACAAAACCGAGGCCCAATCCCAATTACGTAGAACATTTTATATCACGCTTAGCTGTCTAGTGTATTAATGTAGGGGAGATGCATTTTAATTTCTGAGCCTGCTAATATTTGCATCCCCTGTCTATTGTCCTGTTCATATGAAACTTATAGTGGTAACTCAGGGAACAAGTGTCATTATGTAGAAAAAATGTAATTTCCAAGTTAGCAGGGATGCAATTTTTGGCAATATGGATTTCTAGCTTGCCAAAATTTGCATCCCCCCTGTTTTCATCAAATATGATCCAATTGAGGTGAAACTCATACCAGCAGTTCTTACAACTACTCTGGTCATGTAGAAAAACGTATTTTACTCTTAACTCTTTATTTCTCCAAATTAGCAGGGGATGCAATTTTTGGCAACATGGATTTCTAGCATGCCAAAATTTGCATCCCCCCTGTTTTCATGAAATATTTTCGAAATGATATTAAATTAATTCCAGTAGTTCATAGAACTACTCTGGTCATGTAGAAAAGGTTATTTCACTCTTAACTCGTTATTTATCCAAGTTAGCAGGGGATGCAATTTTTGGCAATATGGATTTTCAGCTTGCCAAAAATTGCATCCCCCCTGTTTTCATCAAATATTTTTGAAATGATATTAAACTAATACCTGTAGTTCAAAGAACTACTCTGGTCATGTAGAAAAACATATTTCACTCTTAACTCATTATTTTTCAGAGTTAGCAGGGGATGCAATTTTTGGCAATATGGATTTTCAGCTTGCCAAAAATTGCATCCCCTGCTAACTCTGAAAAATAATGAGTTAAGAGTGAAATATGTTTTTCTACATGACCAGAGTAGTTCTTTGAACTACTGGTATTAGTTTAATATCATTCTCAAAATATTTGATGAAAATAGAGGGGATGCAATTTTTGGCAAGCTGAAAATCCATATTGCCAAAAATTGCATCCCCTGCTAACTTGGAAATTACATTTTTTCTACATAATGACACTTGTTCCCTGAGTTACCACTATAAGTTTCATATGAACAGGACAATAGACAGGGAATGCAAATATTAGCAGGCTCAGAAATTAAAATGCATCTCCCCTACATTAATACACTAGACAGCTAAGCGTGATGTAAAATGTTCTACATAATTGGGCCTCGGTTTTGTAAACCTTTAAGCTATTATGGTGTTAAAAGAAAAATCTGGGAATTTCAAACCAGCTGCGGAGAACTTGTTCATCAGACACTGAAGAACATTCGACAAATATGGCTCAATAAACCTGAAAAAAATCTGTATTTATTTCAATTAATTTGCGAACTAAAACCCACAATTTTAGGGCTTACGTGATTAATAAACGTGATAATGTTACGAATATCTTTAAAAGTTTCCTCTTCTGTCGGATAGGTGCCCGTTTACGTTTACCCTTCAATATGCGAGAGTTTAGAGCGATGCGCTCTCCCGCGACAGGGGATGCAATTCTCGGCAGGCATGCATTTCTCGGCATAACACCGGCAGAGGCAGCTCAACAGTCACTGAGCTGCTGGGCCGAACCGAGCTCACAGCAACACCACACATGCAGAAACACAAGGACGCATGAAAAATATTTCTGCAAGTCAGAGATCTGCAGCCTAACATACTCAGGTTTTACATAACTAATGGAGCGGAATTAGAGTTGGAATCTGAATTTTTCTGATAATTGTCTGGTTGTGGTTCTTTAAGCCTTAGTTTTTCTGGACCACTCCTCAGGCATCTTACCTGGTTAAATCGGTTAAACTATTCCTCTTTAAATTTCTGTCTGGGAGATGATGGAGTGTGTGATAATTCCTTTGACATCATAATGGATGGAAGAGATGGTCTGAACTTCCTCTGTATCCATAAAGCCTCCTTTTCACCTTAACTTACTTATGAAAAATTCAACAGCTACAACAAGTCTCCTGAAAATATCCCAAAATCTCCCCAGTTTTAATGGTTACAAGACCTTTGAGAAGACTTTCTATCTATTTGTGTGTATTTGGATGTTTCTCTGGAATAAGTTACCCTTCCAGATTAGATTTGCCCTCAGTCTGGATCATTTTAAATTACTTGTTAAAACATACTTTTATTTGTTGGCTTTCAATTGAGGTATGATGCTGCAACGTTTCTATTGGGATGGTTTAGTTTTATTTTTAGATTCTAGATCATCTTCATTGTGATTTTTATATTTTTCATACGTGTTCTTGTACAGCAAAAAGTGCTATATAAATGAACTTCACATTAACACTGCAGAGTTGATGTTACTATGTCAGAAAATTAACTATTTTTATAATAGTACCTTCCACTTCTGTTGCATAGTGCACCATTAATATTCCCTACAGAGAATTAACACAAAACAGCAGAAGCACAGGCTCCAGCATGAGAAAAGAAAACAATGCTGTCAAATGACCCACGCATCACTGTTGATCAATGGATTGCATTATGACCAAAAGCACACATCAAAGCATCAGTCAATGGAAAAGTGGAACTAGAACGGGTCAAACCAACACGGTTCTGGGTGCAGCAGAGAGAGAACGAAGGTTTCCATCAGTGGTAATTGTAACTTTAATTTCAGTTGGAAATTAAAAGCATAATTTCAGGATAATGTACATCAGTAATTCAGTGATATATGCTGCATTATTAAGCTCATCAAGAGTTGTGTAGCTGAAAAATAATCAAGATAACACTGGGATGAATCTAAGCTGTGGTGGCATCTCAGTAATAACAGTTTAAGAAAATGTTTCAGAACCATAACCTGACATGGCTCTGTGTGTGCTAACAGGGAAGACCCTGATGAATACCAGATGCTAAGGCTACCTGAGTCTTTATAGTTAGCTGTCTGGTGGCATTGCTTTGGTTCAGAACACGATATATCTCTGAAAATCCAATGACACTTGTCATTAAAATGTTTAACACGTTTTTAATGTGTTCAGACATGGCGAGCTCCTGAACTTTGGAAACAGCTGGAGAAAATGTGTTCTAGATTTGAGCCACTGCAGAGATGAAAACAGACCCTGGACAGAGAGAACAGGGATGTAGGTTTTTTCTACTCTTTAAGCCTTCCCTGGTCCCTGTCAGCTGGGCTTGCTGGCATCTGGGAAATCTGCAGAAAGATGGAAAGAAGAAAACACACCTAAAGATAAGATTACTGTTTTTATCTAGTGTAAGGAGGATAGTCAAATGGACTCATGTTAAATGCACTGAAGATATATAGAATTTTTGTACTCATTAACCACTCAAAGCACTTTAGAGTCACATTCACACACAGACACAAAGGTTGCTAGGCAACTTGTGCTTCAGCAAAAGTTATCTCCACTGTTCTATAAGAAGGTCATCATGGTGTGTTACCTGGTTATCGATACACTGGAACTGCCAGTTCCAGTGTGTGTTGTAGAGGAAAGGTCGAAGGTCAAAGCGGTTGTCATCAGGACTGTAGCTCTCAGCATGGTAGGAAGGAGTCACTGTGGTCATCTTGTGGCGATTCACCGAGTACATCCTGAAGAAGTGCTTCACCTTCTGAGCCACCTGCACAAACAAGCAGCTGTTCGGGTCCAGAGCACAGAGGAGCCAAACTGATGCAGAATGCCTTCCAGTAGCCGGTGGGGTTAAAGAAACCCTGAAGATTTCAGTAGTCAGATTTTCTTGTAATCTATCAAAGTAAACACTAATGCTGTTGCACTGACACAAAATTCATTTTGTTCCAAAAGGGACGTTTCCAAATTCTAAAACAAATGAACAAAATAACTTAAAAATGTCAAGAATTAGAAGAGTTCATCCAGAGTTCATACCTTTAAATGTATGAAATGCGATCTGGAATTTGAGGTTTGTTTTTGTTGTCAGTCCTTAAGACTTCTGCTGACTCAGATATTCATGTTTTTTTTTTTAATTCAACATTGGAAATTTATCATTTTTGCGTCCTGCTGTTTGGTTGATGCAAATTAAACTGAAATTTGTCACAAAGTAAATTTACTGTAATATAATGCTTTCAGATCCTTTGTGTTGTGCAGTGTGCACATTAACCAGCTTAGTAGCCAACTAACCTGAGTAGGTGAAAGGACATCCCTCCACAGATGAATGAGCTTACAGAACATACTGAAGGGTCCACACTTTGAGATCTTACGCAGCTTTCCAATCACCGATAACTCAGAATACATCATTCCCATGTCTGACTGAGGAAGGAGAAGAAACAAGAATGTCACACATGTAAACCACATCAGCAAGACTTGTGATGGAAGTCTTTCAAATTGGGTTTCCAGTAAAGTCTAAGTAGACAGAAGATATGAACATTTAATCCAATGTGATTGGAGTGATAAGGGGAAAAAATGGATAGACTGGCATCGAGCACCACACTGATTGATTAATCTGCATTAAATCTGCAACCAGTTTTCCAACTTCTTTTCAGAGAAAATTTTAAAAAATTAATCTGCACATTGACTCTAAAGCCAGAACCATTGCTGTACCCAAGCAAAACAAATACAGGAAAAATGACCCATTTTCAACTACTTAATTATAAAACCGTAGAAGAAATTATAAGTCAATTAAGTTCAAGCTCCTGCTGTCTGGATGTCCTACCCACACATTTCTTTAAGGAAATCCTACCTGTTATTGCTACTGATCTGATCCAAATAGTAAACTCATCACTCACATCAGGTGTTTTCCCCCAGGCTTTGAAAACAGCAGTTATCAAACCAAGCAAAAAAGAACAATCTGGACAGAACTACTGCAGAATTACAGGCCGATCTCCAACCTCCCATTCATCAGCAAAGTTATTGAAAAAAACTGTGTGTAAACAATTAAACAGCTTCCTCATGACGACCAACTGCTTTGACTCTTTCCAATCTGGTTTTCGTGCTCACTACTGCACGGAGACTGCCCTTGTAAAAGTGTTCAATGACATCCATATAAATATGGACTGTGGGAGAACCACAGTGCTGGTTCTGTTGGACCTCAGTGCAGCTTTTGACACTGTCGACTATGACATATAACTGAATTGACTGGAGAGTTGGGTTGGACTCTCCGGTTCGGTACTCGACCAGTTTGAATCTTACATAAAGAATAGGGATTTCTTTGTTTCAATTGGAAACTTCTCATCAAAGAGGTTAAAGGTCAGATGTGGGGTATCCCAAGGTTCAATCCTAGGACCCCTCTTATTCAGTAGTTATATGCTCCCACTAGCTCAGGTTATAACAGGAAATAATATTAGCTAAACTTTCCCTAGCTGAACAGAAACAAAACTGAAGTCATTATTTTTGGACCTAAAGAGGAACGATCTAGAGTCAATGCACAGCTTCAGTTATTACAACAACAAATTAGCAATCAGGCCCCAAACCTGGGAGTACTGATGAACTCGGACTTGAACCTCGCAAGCCACATAAAGACAGTTACAAAGTCGGCCTTCTATCACCTTAAGAACATCTCCAGGATTGAAGGACTTATGCCTCAGCCAGATCTAGAGAAACGCATCCATGGGTTTATCTGTTCTGCTTCCCAGAACCACACTGTAAAATGTAATAGTATATCTTACTCTAAAAGAAAAGTGACTTTAACTCATTCCAGCTTACTCTGTTGACTATACTAACCTAAACTTAGTAAAGACAACTTTTTACTGAGGCAAGTAATCAAACTCATCATCAGCAAGTAACCCGAACTTGGAGTTATGAGTGAGCAAGACGCATCTGCATAACTAGCAGAAAAGGACTTCGGCATCATTCGGCAGCTCTCGTTGAACGCACATGCGCAGTTGGCCACTGAAGACTGACGACGTGTTTGAAAGAAGCGCCGAACTGTCAACAATACGGCGATTCCTGCAGCCAAGTTTTGTCATGGTAAGTTCCACTGGTTTTTAGCAAACATATATTCATTATCTCGGCCGTATAATTCATCCGTAAGTCCAGGTTTTGAGGTTAACTTCATGTGAAATGATTTAGCGATGCCTGGAACTAACGTTAGTCGAAAATATCATGTTTATTTAGTGGCAACAAGATGGAGCGGCAGAGGAAAAAAGCTGTCCGGGGTGCAAAACAAAAAAAGGAAACGGGATAAAGATAAAGATGTTGGCAGGATAAAAAAAAGCCTTTCAGTGTGGTTGAAAGCTTGCCTGCTAACTTTCAACCACACTGAAAGGCCTTTTTCTTTGTTCCCTGTCAAGTTAACCATAAATGGTAGTATTAATATTAAAAAAAAAAAAACAGCAGTGGTCTTTTATGGGCGCGTGCCCAACAGAGATAGCAAAATATAAGTGAATCAACGTTGAAATATCTCTTGTCTCTAGTTAACTTACAGAATTAGTTTCAGTGTCCTGCTAGTGAAAAGTAGTCATGAGAGGTCCAACATCTCTATATGTTAAATATTAATTTGTCATACGTTTCTTTCAGATTCTGACAGGGTTCTGTCGCTTGTGGAGCAAAAACCTGGATTCAGAACTTTTCACAGAACTTGACAAATACACCCCTCACTTCTTTGAGATTTTCAAGGGCAAAGGGGGAAGTGTTGGCCAGAAACTTCAGATGTATCTGCAACAAAGTCAATATTTTATTATCATGTTGGGAACACAATACACAACCCCACTGTGTATGAGAAGCTGTTAATTGATTCTTCTTTACCACAGGAGTGATGTGTGTTTGATATGATTTTTCAGAGTATGGATATTACTGCGAAGCAAATGGCAGTGCTCGTTGGCCTCCCTGTGATCCTTGGAGATGAAAACACAGTCTTCATCAAGACATGCTTTGTAGGTCATCTTTATTACATTTTTATAATTCCACACTTAATTCTGCTCCTTTTGTGACTTTGATAGCTTTAGTTTTAGTTACTGTTCTTTCACTCGGCCTGAATCACTGCTACTGTACTTCTTACATGATGCACTGATGAAATATCCCCAATCAGAAAACTTTTAGTGGTTCTCTGCTGTCTTTCCAAAGGTTTCAGTGGCAGTTCTCTAGCGTCACAAAATTAACCCAAATGTCATCAAGAACAAAAAAGTACAATGAATTTCACTTTGCTGATGAAATGCAACATGTAAAAATGTTGTGAACTTTCCCTTCCAACATCATCAACACTTATTATCACTGACACTCTTGGGAAATGCGCTCGCTGTACTGTCATAGAAGGCTGATGATGAGTGGACTGCCATAGGCGGGACAGCTGTAAAGTGCTACGTTGATATGTAATTGTGATGTTGCTTCTATTGCTGGGACTGCGAAGACCCAGACGTGTCTCACACCTCCATTGGGATCCTGACGATCATTCCTGAGGACAGGCAGGCCTCCCTTGACTCACTGCACCTTGAGTCTTCATCCATCATTTTGGAAGAAAGTCTTGTCATGAATGACCTTGGAAATCTTCCACATGCCATCTGCTCTCTCTTTGGACTTATTTATGCTCTGAATTTGGAGTACACTCAACAAGTACACCTTTGATTTCATCCAAAGGGTGCTTCTCTCACTTGGACATAAATCCCTAAAACCGAAAATACAATCACTCAAAAATCTTCTGATGCAATGAGTGAATGTGATGTGACATTATGGATCAACGTTGATACCTTTACCCTTTTTGGAAAAGTGATTTTTATTTCTTGTTTGATTCTTTTTTGTGGGAGGGAGCGTCATTGCACTTGCAGACTACTAAATGGTTTTATGTTAATGAGGAGAAACATTACTTCACTATTCACTTTTTTGATGTTATGATAAATGTTAGGCTCTATTATTGAAAATTGAGTGTTTGTTTCACAGCAGTCAACAAAGACATTTAAATAGGGATTCTCAAAGTTTTAAAAACGGGGGGCCATTTGAAGGATTCAATATTAGATTGAAGGCTGCCCTAGAAAAAAAGTCATGTCATTTTTTTTTTCCTAAAAAAAATCTATGGAAAACTTTGTTTCCAGGTTAGTGTGTATGTAACCACACTTGAGAACCCTATATTTAAGGTAAACTTGTTTAATTATTAAACATTTTTTTCATTCAAACTGTTGTCTGTTGGCTCTTTGTTTCAATAATTTAACACTTTTGGTTCTTCTTACTTGGACATATCAAGGGAATCGGTTTCTTGATATTTTCCAAGTGATGTGAACGCTTAAATGTGTAAGCATAACTTATTTTTATGAGAACTGCTTAATTGACAACTCGCAAATTGTAGTAGTCATAATTTACATTTTATAGTCAACCTTACTCATGATTTTGAGTTAACAGTACTCAGGTTTACTGCCATTATCTGAGTGGTCTAAACATAGTCATTTATAGCTATAACACCTTAAAATTAATTAGCTACTTGGAGATTTTGAGGCAATCAGTTTCCTAACTTTTTTTAAGTAAAGTGAACTAATTACATTTTACAGTGCAGAACCAAAAGAGAAGCAGCATTCAGCATCTGCACCAAAAATTTGGAATAAACTTCCAGAAAACTGCAAAAAAGCTGAAACACTGACTTCCTTTAAATCTCGATTAAAAACGCGCCTTAACTCTGGCTGACTAAGTAGACAAAGCATTTGATACGGTTTGATGGATCGTGTCACCGGAAAAATTGTACTAAAAATATTGATAAAATAATATAAAACCAGCGTGAAGCGTGACTATGAGGAGAGCGCGAAAGCTCTTCATAATGAGGTTAGCACTGGTTCATTAACCACTAACACACCGAACCACCAGGACCATACAGGGACTTTACAGGTGGCTGGGCAGCGTGTTGAGATGTACAGGCCACATAATGTTTTGTCCACAAATATAAATCCTCACCGCTCGCTCAACGCACCTCTGAAAGTGTGACTTCAAGTTACTCCTGTGGTTCACATAGAGCTGTGCAACCAGAGCTAACGCAGTTCGTTTTAAACTATTACCTTGACGTTCTCCATGACATAATTATTATTAATTAGAATTAATTAATTAACATAATTATATATATATATATTTATTCCCAATGAATTCTCTAAAAGTACAATCAAGCAACGCTTGGCAGAAATGAATACTAAACAGCTTTAAACTGTAGTGTATCTTTCTGATTCATGTAAATAGCAAAATGAAGACAGTTTAGATTTTAGTAATTTTATGAAGTTTTGTTTGAATGATAAGGGAGGCCAGTTGGTTCATTATAGCAGTGAAATCTAGTTAAAGAATACAGTAAAAAGAGCTGACTAATACACTGGCTGTTTCTGCAAGTGTCAGTCTGTACCTCATCTGTCTGGGATAGCTGTCCGTCCTTCAGAGGCTCCAGTTCAGCAGTGGGGGGAGCAGTCAGGATGCTGCACAGCACAAAAAACACACACACAAACTGAAACACACTGAGGATGATGCATACACACTCCTGACAGATCCTTGTTTTTGTGAAATCTTCTTTAAAGTGGATCCCTGAACTCCTCTCACCCTCTCAAAGTGGTAAGCTGGAACTGCTCTGCACAGTAAGCAAGGAAGCTCTTCAAATCCATCTTGCTGATTCCACCAATGGGGTTTATGTCTGCACTGGAGCAGTCATACTTGGTGAAATATCCTGTAAGGCTGAGCAGTAGAAATTATTTAACATGGGAAAAACAGCATTTTTTTCCATGTTACAGTGAAATAATCTGCCAGTGGAAGTCAGACTTTTTCATAAATATTAAGGAATTATTTATTTAAAACAAGTTTCTGTATCCTGTTGAGAAGTCGCTTGTCAATTAGTTTTGTCTTAATTAAAATGTACTAAGATATTTGCACTAGAAACTAGACCAAAAATACTTGGTAAGATTGTGTGTTTTTGCAATGCATGCACAGCTGCATGCATTGTAAACTTGTTTAATTATTAAACATTTTTTTCATTCAAACTGTTGTCTGTTGGCTCTTTGTTTCAATAATTTAACACTTTTGGTTCTTCTTACTTGAACATATCAAGGGAATCGGTTTCTTGATATTTTCCAAGTGATGTGAACGCTTAAATGTGTAAGCATAACTTATTTTTATGAGAACTGCTTAATTGACAACTCGCAAATTGTAGTAGCAATGCATGCAGCTGTGCAATGCATGCACAGCTGCATGCATTGCAAAAACACAACGACATTCTGTCTTCTTGAACGACATTCTGTCTTCACACTTCAACAGGAAACAAAGTCATTATGAAACCACTCAATGGTCAGATCTACCAGCATCAGAGCAAATACCGTGGTTAAACTGTCATAGCAAAGACGCCAAGAGGAATTTCTGGAAATGAGGGGGAAACTTAATAATTACACAAGGGTTGACTATTTCATATCCCAGGGGATTTGTCTATTGATAGATTGTTTCTTTTTCAGATTGATTTGTTTTTTTCTATTAAAATAAGTTAAAACCCTGTGGAAACTACATCTCTGTTTCTGCCTTTTGTCAGAGTCGCTTTAACAACCTGGTTAATGTCTAAAAGAACTTTAAACAGGGAACCTGTTTAAAGTTCATCCAAATAACATCCAAATAATTAGATGTTACCGTTTGGAATTTTCAGATGCATTTTGCATCAGATTTTTGTATCACGTACAGCAACGGATTTGAGATTTAATCATTTATGCAACTGGCATTATCAAATGAATATAGTCTGGATCATTTGTGAGCACAAAAACTTTGTAGGCTACAATACAAATTATGTGCAGTAAACCAAAGTATCAACCACTCCAGTCATTTGTAATTGTACCTCTCATCGACGTTGGCTGAGCCCAAAACCAGCAATCCTCCAGGCCTACCGCGGGCCCACAAGCTCAGCTGGGCAAAAAGATAGGCCAAAACCATCCTGACCCGGGCCTGGTAACGGCACAAACACACTTCTGGTCAAAACCTCAAGTTTGGTTCCAGTGGTTTTGTTTTCTCTCTGAAACCAATTAAGACTTGTCTTTGCCTGGGGGTATTGTATTATGTGGTAAGATTCACTGTTGTCATCTTTGGATTCTTATGAAGTTCTACATTTCTCAATTCATCCTTCAGTTATGCAAATCTGCCAGTACCTTTTGTACAATGACAGCCACATCAATTGTGTTTCCAGCAGTAGAGTTCAATTTTGTCACTGTGTTTTTTGGGGAGGGTGTTTAAGACCATCTCCTCCAGATTACATTAAAAATTTTCAGTTCTGCCCTCATCTAAACAGACTATTCTCTTCTGTAGAATCCCAATGTTCCAATGGCTTTTCTTTGTGATAATGGCTTTCCACTAGCATCTCCGTCATGCAGCCCATTTTTCTACTAGTGCCTCCTTACTGCAGGTCTTGAAACATTTATGAGTTACTTATGTTTTTTTTTTTTGCATCCTATTTTTCTGCCAGTTGTGGCTGAAAGTCCTGTTGGTTTCCTTGACTGAGGGTTGACTACAACAGAGACCCTCATTTCCCACTTCTAAGAGTTTGAGGACTGCAGCCAGTCACTTTCAGTTGCCAGGCAAGATTTTATATCTGCGGATATAAAAGCTACCCTAATGCTGACCATTATAATCATATGGTGGTTGATTGTTTTGGATTGGACTGAATTGGATTCTGTATTTAAGAATATGACATGTTTGCCTTGTGCTTCGAGGTGTTTGATATGCAGATTAATTATTCAGCAAACTTTTTGTGTCAGTAGTTGTATTTGAACTTTAATAGTATTAGTTGGTCCAAAGTAGTTTGAATTTTACTAAGACAGCAGTCTTTGGCCATTCCTATTATATTGCAATAAAGTATTGGTTGATGCTGTAGTTGAAAATGTGAGGCTAATTCTGTTACCAAGAAACAACATTTATATTCTGCACCATAGTTTGAACGTGTAGAACAACATTCTGTCTTCTTCACACCTCAACAGGAAACAAAGTCATTATGAAACCACTCAATGGTCAGATCTACCAGCATCAGAGCAAACATCGTGGTTAAACTGTCACAGCAAAGAATGAACCCAATTCAAGAAAAAGGGCTACAACATTCAGTTCCTTGATGACTCATAATGAGACAGCAGCGCATGAGGAGAGGTCTCACCTGCACATTCTGCAGAGCCAGGTTCTCTCTGTTGCTTCCACCGTTTGCACAAAACTGTGGCCACCGACCAGTTACCACTGAAAAGATACCCAGAATGCCTTTGACAGCCACATCTATGTTAATATTCACATGTGTGCTGCAAGAGAGACGTAAAAAAGAAAAACAGACATATTTATGAAGAACAACGTTTCTTCCTCAAAAATTAAGAGGAACTGTACAGACAATCTCTCAGACATTGCTCTCAGATACAAGAGTTTGTGTGTTATTCCAAGCTGGAGTTCAAAATATAAAAGACAAAATTCACCATTTTGATGAAAGTCTACCTTCCAATCTCCCCAGCCAGGTCCCTGGCTCTTTTGCATGTATCCTGGGAGGAGTTTTCACTAGCCATGTAACAGGTGGTAAAGAGGCAAGCACACAACTCCTTTGGGTTCTGCGGTGTGTAGGAGTCATCTCCAACCACTCTGCGAATATCCTCCAGCACCTGGCTGTCTGAAAAGTCATCATTTTAAATAAACATGTTTAACAGATAGCTCCTGTTCTGTTTGGCCCTCTGTGAAAATGTTTACTGACATTACATTGAGAAATGGTCTTTAAGGGAGCTAAGATGAACCTCAGACTGAAAGTCAGTCAGTGTGTAAACAACCAAACAAAGTTTCACTGCCTTCATGGTTTCTAAAATGCAGAATGTACTGAGATGTAAAGTTGTGAAAAGCTCACTCCAGTGACAGCCACACAGCTTCATATAATATTTTCAAAATGCAAGCAGCTCATGAATGTCTCAAACTTAATGTTGTCTCTGTAGATATGTTCAGGATAACTGCGGCAACATGTTCAAGTTAAGCATTCTTCTAACTGTTGGTTAGCTGTTCTCTCCAAATTGTGCTTTAGTTGTTTGTCCTATGTGTCTTTCTGTGATGGTCTGGCAAAGCGATCATTGGGCCATGTTGTATCCCACCCATCACCCAATGACCACAGACGATAGGTACTAAGAAAGGACAAGCAGGA